CCCTGAATTATTTAGGGTACATAATCTGCCGGACCAAGGTGTTTGAATATGTAGAAAAGAAGTGTTGCGAAAACTTTGGGGGTATTTTTAAGATTTTTGATGACTGATCATATAGCTTTAATAAGATGACACGAGCATCTTTAAAGTTAACAGGAAAGCTCCCAATTTTTTGGAGGGTAATCTCTGCAGTACACACCTTAAAAATTAAACTTGAAAAAGTTGCTAAAACCCTGTGAATTCTTCGCCAAAATTCGGCCGAAAATTTGTTGTTACCTCGGAAAAAATTACTTTAGATTTGAGCTGTTTAATCAAAATTTTACCATCCAATTTTGAGTGGCTATCTAATTTTTGTAAGTCTCAATCACCATGACACGAACACCTTTAACGTTAGCAGTAAGTCTTACAATTTTTTCGAAGGTAATCTCTGTGGTACATATCTTGAAAATTTAGCCTGCCGTTTGCAAGAGCAGTCGAATTATAATATTAAATGTTTTGGTGCTAAAACTTCGTGGAATCTTTGCCAAAATTCGACCGAAAATTTGTTCTTACCTCGGAAAAAAATTACTTTAGATTTGAGCTGTTTCATCAAATTCTTATCATCCAATTTTGCGCAGCTAGCTAGCTTTTGAAGTTTCAATCACCATCTAAGCTATTTACTTCTAAAGCTTTTGTAATCCATTCGACACAAAAATTAGCAAATTTGACTAGCTTTCCCAAAACGTCCTCCATTTCCTCCTTGTCTCTTTCTCGCTTTGCGCACGCGACAAATCCGTGGCGTTTATTAAAAAGGCCGACTGTTTTTGGCACTTTGTTCGACTAATTCATCAGGCGATTCCCCAGTGGTTTTGACAACTTTCCCCTGCCCGAAAAGATGGACCTTCCTTTTGGCGGAGACAGAGTTTGTGACTAAATTCATGTAGCCTGACATTCCGATGATTTAGGAGCTGTGCTGGCAAAAAACTTTCAAAAGTTTTATTCGGACATAGTAACAGGAAGTTTTATTGATATCGTTTGGTAATATACGACTGTTGGGAGTCAGTTGTGGCAAGGAGGATTTGGAGACGGTAGTTGGAATTTATAATTTTTATAAGAGTTTGAGGTGCGATGTCTTGATTTTGATGAGATTTTAGACTAGTTAAGACTAAGGTAAGGTATAAAAAGATGCGTCCCAGGATGACCGCAGATGTCGCAGCCGCCCGTAAATGGTGGACGGACATGCGGCCACCATTGCAAAGTTGTGTGAGGGCTTGCCCGCAAATGATTTCTGGTACTATATGTGTGTGATGGTCATATCAAAAATCAATCTTTCACTTGCAAAACTCGCAACGTTATTGTCAAAACCCGGTCTTCACATTTTACGTACTCTCCCTCTCGGTTAGAAAGATCACTGATTTTCCTGGCTGGTCCTGCAAAGCGCAAGCTATATCTGAGAATTAATTTAAGGCACCAAAGAATACTACATGCACCAAACTTAAAACAAATTTGAGCTTTTCAAGCGATGAAATTTTTATACAGGATGGGGCATCTTTGTGGCCCGATTTGAATTGGCTATAACTTCTTTAGTTTTTGGCCAAATCCTAAAATTCTTTTTTTTCTCTGAATCCTCAGACATCTCCATTTTGTAAGATACCAAATATGTTGTATTATCGATTCAAAATTATCCGGCGGTTTTATTGGCGCGTTTTTTGGTAGTTAAAATTTGCGTTTTGTTAATGGTTTTTTTATAAAAATAATCTTCACAATGTAGTTAATAAAATGTGTGTCGAAAACCATACTCTTATCCGCCATATTATGCTCTACCATTTCGAGAAAAGTTGGAAGTCAGCACAGTCATCTCAACGAACTTTTCGGCGAAGGAAAAAAAAATCGCCAGGTGTTTCGCCCAAAGGAGTGCCAAAAGACGTCCACTGTAAGAAGGCTATGTGATACGTGTGGTGGGACAGAAGCGGAACCATCCACTGGGAAATCGTGCCTTTTTTTGTTCCTTCGCCGAAAAGTTCGTTGAGATCGCAAAATGACTGTGCTGACTTCCAACTTTTCTCGAAATGGTAGAGCATAATATGGCGGATAAGAGTATGGTTTTCGACACACATTTTATTAACTAAATTGTGAAGATTATTTTTATAAAAAAATCATTAACAAAACGCAAATTTTAACTACCAAAAAACGCGCCAATAAAACCGCCGATAATTTTGAATCAACCTAATACATAGGTAAGTCTCATCTACAGTTATTGGGCCACAAAGATGCCCCACTCTGTAATCTTCCAATCCTAATTTTTATTGGACAAAAATCTCATTCTTCTCCCCACAACTTCTAACAGCTATTACTTTAACTCCCAACCTAACAAACAAGCTGACTAATAAGCCCATTCCCCTCCATTTTTAAGTACATCTGATTTCCCACTTTTACAGCCGGCCGTGAGTATAACTTTTAGTGTCTTCGACACATCTGTCGCCGGATGTATTTGAATTTGAATGGGAATTGGCCGGGGTTTGTGGCCATCTAAATGGTTTCGAAAAATATTTTCGAAAAAATGCCTCCAGGCGTTTTCGGCCTTGACAAGTTTTGCGTTTTGCGTATTTCGTTTTGATTTTTAGTTTTTGGGTAATCGGATACGTCTTGAGTCATTTTCTCGGTTTGTTTTCAAAGTCTTTGACTGGGGAAGATGGTGACCGACAAATGTTTTTTGAAGGTTTTTTGTTATTACTTTTGGCTGTTTGAGGATTTCTGGTTGGAGGCAATATAGTGTCGTACAGTTCAGCCTAGGTATAGCGAACTCCCGTTCAGCAAAGCCTGTCTATAACGAATAATTTCTGAGATCCCGAAAATTTATTTCAGATCAAAGAAAACTACTGTAAAACAAAGCCTTTTTATAGCGAATCAATTTTTTTATTTTTTTGCTGTTTGTTGTACAGAGGTTTGTCTGTATTTTACTGGTTTTCCGATTTTTTAAATATGATCTATCATCGACCTGGCGGTGTTCCCAGGTGGCCACTTGACCCTTAAGGGTTCCTTTGATATCCCCAAGATTTTTGGCAAAACACACTTGCTTTTTATTCAAAATGATCTAGTTTATACCTTCAGATGTTGATGAAACAAGGCCTAAATTTAGAGGGGAATTTTGCAGACGCATATAAGAGGAAGTCGGTATGTTTTTGCAAAAAATGTTCAATTTTGCTCAAAAATTTTAGCCGATTTTTTAGACACATTGAGATATCGACCAAAGATTATAAAAATTTACACCCCAAACTTGCAAACTTTTTCCATAACTCAACAAAAACCATTTCCATCACGTCAATTCTACGCAAAACCCATCACGTTGCACGCCTTCGCTTCGCCGAAACGAAGTTAGTTCGGCCGCAAAAAACTACTTGACACAGTGAAGGAATCCCCATTTTCGGGCCGTTCCATTGCCCGAGGGGATGCGAAGACACTTGTCGCTCTTCTTTTGTTATGACTGATCCGCAAAACTGCTTTGTTTTAAAGGGCAAAAAACTGGGCCGCGGAGGGCGAAAGGAGCGCGTTTTAAACCCGGTTTCGAAGGCGCCGTCATCTCTGACGCCGTTCGGGTGCGGATTTTTTTTAATGCAAAAAAATTTACTTTTTTTTGCTTATTTTTTGGGATTTCTGAGTTTTTTGTTTGATTTTTTCGAAAAAATTTTTAGAATTTTTTCGACATTTTTTGCGATTTTTTTTTGATTTTCATCTATTTTTAACCGAATTTTTGATGATAATTAGTAATTAAAATGCTGTGGTTTTATTTTACGTATAAGTTTTTTTTGATTTTTCACGAATTTTGTGATTTTTTCATCTTTTTTCGAATTTCATTGACCTTAGTTTTTGGAGCTTAAAAATAACATTCGTTTTTTTAATTAATTTTTTTCACAAATATGCCCATTTTTTGTAGTTTTCTTATTTTAAGGTATTTCCCCCGCCTTTTGAATAACTAATTAATCAGGAAAAGAAATCTAAATTTCAGAGTAGAGTGAGCCTTGTATCTTTTCATGACACTTTCATTTACACCTTGCCTAATTCTTTTTTACGAAATTTTCTTCGAGTGAATTGTACTTTTTCCCGTCTTGTAGCCTGCCCTTGCAAAGTTTGTATGTATGACGAATAGTATTACTGCTATAGTAAAATAGCATCACAAAAATTTCTGTGAGTGGCGTGAATTTTGAGAAACATGTTTGATTTCTGACAATTTTATTGTTATCGTTAAAATAACACTTATTTTTTGTCAGAGCTTGCAAAAAATTGATTTTTTTTCATGTTTTCGAAGCGATGAGTACAAATTTTGAATAAAAAATATTTTTTCCCGCGCTCAGATTCAAAAAGATGTTTTATTTCTCTGGCCGCCTCTCATCATTTCCACAGTCTCTCGTCTGCAATTTTTTTTTATTTTTCGGCTGAAAATGCAAACTTTTGGAAATTTATATATCATCTATGTATTATCTACAGCAAGCCAAAAAATGATAAAAAAGTTTTGACATCTTTTTGAACTCATGTTCAACTTCAGACCCCTCTGAACTCAATGTCATCATCTAGAATCCATCTTTTTCTTTCCCGAACTTTTGTTTACCCTCTAATTCCGAGATGTTATCCATATTGTTTTGATCAAATTTTTATGTTTTTATGATTGATCTCTTCCCTCGTCCTTCTTGATTGGCACTTAGGGTCCGGGGTCGGCTCAAATTAACGGCAAATGTCAAAACTCCCGAAATTATTTGAATTCTGATTTTTCTTGGGGCTTAAAATATCTACGAACTCTCAATTTTCAGTAATAATTTTTGGGATTTGATTTCATTTTATTATTTTGATTTGGAAAATAATTTTTTTGATGACTTTGAAAATGCTTTTGCGAAATTTTGCGATTTCATATACCTAAACGCTGTAAAATACGAGACCCCACATGTTAATGTTACTTTTAGCACCAAAATATCCAAATGTTACTGCCATCACCATCTTTGTCGCTATGAACTTCTCATAAGATCTGATCCATGTTCAATGTAAGGTTAATGGAGCTCGGCCCAATCCTTGGCCAATATCTTTGGCCTGCCCTTCTCAATCTCCTCTTCATATCAGATTTGGTGTGGGCAAGGACTTCGGGTGAGTTTCGACCACTTTACTCTCCAATTTTATGTTGTACTAGACAAAGATCGATTAAACTTGTATTTTTGAGATGTTCGATGTCTCTAAAACAAATAAACGTAAGATTTTCCCATTTTCAGACCGAAACAAGATTGCGTATCCATCGTATTTACGGGTGAATCGATGCTACAGCTGTATGAGTCCCATGTACGAAGAATTGTTCAAGTCCGGCGATCTGGGCCAGTTCTTTTTCGAGCCGCGCAACTTCACCTCCAAATGCGAGCATCCCATCGATACCACTGGCATCGGGCTGGTCCCTTGTCGAGCAATCTGCTTGACACTCACGCAGGAGTTTACTGTCATGGGTAAGCCTTATTGAGTTCCTTTTTTGAGGGCTTCTTTGATAAGTCTTTCTATTAGGTTGTCCAACAATTAATGTCGTTCTTTAAAAGGTTTTTTGTACAAAGAAATTTACCGTAATAACGAAGATATCTTTGATCAAGATAATCACCATGTGTTATACAATAAACCATGCAGAATTTGTAGGAAAAGAAACCGTTTCATATCCGTTAGTGCCCTCGCTAACTAAACCCTCAAATTTCAGGTCGAAAAACGGGTCGTCGACTGACAATGCGCGGCTGCGCCACCTCCTTGAGTCGCTACGGGTTCCACAATCAGACGATCGCACTCTTCGATCAATACGATCTTTGTCGGGAAGTAAGGGCGTCGGATTTGTTCCGATACGGCAATGATCCGCAACTGATCAACGTCTGCAGTTGTCTGGGAGATCGTTGTAATGGGGCGTCGCTGGGAAGTCGAAGGACGGCGCCGCAATTAGGATATCTGATTCTTGGGCTGGCTGTGATGGCCGGACTGGTGCTGAGGTGCTGCTGAGAGGGGTTGGAGAGATTGTAAGGCCTTTTTCGATCTGTAGATTTTAAAAAAAACAAAAAGAAAGACTCCTTGAAATTACAGAGGAAATTTCCCAAGGTATAAAGTTCAGATTTTGATGAAACTTGGCTTCAAGCCCTTGCAAATTGCATGTTAAAAGTTTTAATGAGTAATTTCCTGCTCTGATACAGTGAGGTACCTGATCCATTGGCAAAAAAAACATATGATTTTGCATCCGGGAAGTATCAAAAATATGGCAAAATACTTCAAACTACAATAAAAAAAAACTCCGTTTTCAAATGCCGAGCCCTTTCCCCTACAAAAAGAGCGGGCGCTTTTGAAATCGTAGTTTTTTTATTTGAAGAGGGAGGTATTTTGCTGCATTTTTGATACTTCCCGGAACCGAAATGGTACGTTTCTTGCCAATGGATCAGGTCCGCCACTGTAGAATGTAAATTCCAAATTTAAAGGAAATAATATGAGCTCTCGTCCTCCAAAAGTTTCTTTATTATCCTCTACTTCTACCCCAATACCGATCAAAAATCTCATCTCCAACGTCCACTGACCAGTTTGAATGCAGCATCCAAATTTCTTGTCATACTGTATGTCCCCAGTTGCATTTAGCCCACCTTTCGCTAAGCCGATGATTAAAACATCCCGTGAAAATTCAGAATTGTAAAAACTTGCTCATATCTTTTCTTTATGCATCTTTTTTTAAGTTCATTTGTTAATTTGACGTATTTTACCATTTTCTTTCATTTTCCGTAATAAACTTTTATTTTTTTTTTATCTTCACATGTTTTTGAAACAAGTTTCAAGCGTTCGCCAAATCATTTCGGAGATCTTCAGCGGGAAATCGAGAGGATTAGCAAGAAACATCTTCTCGATTGATGGCAGTTAGATAACTGGAAAAACGATGAGTAATTAAGGAAGAAGCTGGTTGAAAGTCTAGCTCCTACCCTCACGATCAGTGCTGTGAGATCCAAAATCGACGTTTTCAATCTAATTTTTTACAAATAAGTCTTATTTACATTTACTTTCAACAATTTACTATAAAAATCTATTGATGATGATAAAACCGTCTTCTGTGCACACTTGGCAACTTGGGAGCATGAGGGAAGTCATCGCCATTCCCACTGCCCTCAACATTCTCGAGGTTTGGCACGGCGGGGACTTCATACGTCTCTGGAGGCCATTTCTCGCCCTTGTATCCGTTCAAAGCCTCTCTCAAGTCCTCGCTAAGTCCTCCGAGAATCTGTCCTCCAAACTTTTCTCTTCCATAAAGTTCAGAGGTCGGTCCTCCGCTTACTTGTTCATGATGATGCTCCTCAATTCGCTCGCGGTGGTGATGAGTCACTAAAATTTTGAAAATATATATTTTTTTCTTCAAAAATGATTTACGGAATATTATATGTATATATTTCAATTCTCACCTCCATCTGAATCGACAAAGACCCGGTTGCTTTCATGGGTTTCCTCGTGAACCGTCCCTTGAACTTTTCCATCCACAACTTCCTTAGCATCTCCCTCCTCATTTTCCCCGTCCTTGTCCTCAACCTCCGTATTTAGGAAGGCATGAGCTCTAGCCAAGTATGGCTTCACGCTGGCTGACTCTTGATTGGCCGCAGGGGCGGCGGTGGGCGGAGCTTGCGGGATAGTGGGGATGAAATGTTTGGGGGCTTCGTCAATGTTGGCTTCGGCACCAGCACTATGATAATTGGCCAGATTTTCAGTTCGTGGAGGGCATGGACAATACGCAGCATCTGGGCCAGGCTCACCAGGAGATCCAGCCTAAATTGACATTAGTTTACAATGAAGGCGATAAGAAATGGCTAAAAATCGCTTGAATCTCACCTTTCCGGGTTCTCCATCAGGTCCATTGTCTCCAGGCTTTCCTGGAGGTCCTTGTGGGCCTGCTGGACCGGGCTGACCAACTCCACCAGCCGTTCCGTCAGCACCAATATCACCGGGTGGCCCTTGAGGTCCGGGTGGGCCTTTAGGACCTGGGAGACTTGGCGAATGTTGGGCGTCTTCTCCGGGGCGACCTTGTGGTCCTGGGATGCCAGGAATACCGGGCTCACCATCATCTCCGGCTGGGCCAGCAGGACCCGGCGCTCCATCCTTTCCTGGTGATCCAATGTCTCCCGGTTTTCCGGAAGGTCCGGTCCCGCCAGCTGGTCCAGGTGCTCCTGGAGGGCCAGGTGGACCGGCCGGGCAGACGAAACAGCCATCTTTCATTGTCATATCAAAGGATATTTCCATTCCGGAGAGTCCAGGATGGCCATCATCTCCTGGAAGACCGGGCTCACCGTTCAAACCGGCTTGTCCGGGGGGTCCGGGAGGGCCGGGTGGACAGTTGGAGGCTTGTCGAGCACACTGGCATTGGGCATTCCGTTTATTGCGGCCTTTAAGAGTCCTGAGGAGGCTCGCATAGCCGCTGGATCTAGCTTGGCGAGTGTGGATTGGCGAGTTAAAGGCCATGATTCCACGCCAAGCGTCGTTTGCAATATGTTTGAACTCCCCCATTTCGGTCATAATTTCATCGTGAAGATTGTTAATGTCCTAAAAGTCGACAAGATAGAAGATAGGCCACTAATCAACACAAAATTTGATAAAAAGATCTCAAAGCCCCCTAAATTTTTCAAAAATCTAACCTGAAAGAGGATGACACTTGTTGCCACAGCAATGGCTATGATGATCGTTGAAGCCGAAGCCGTAACTCCGACCACGACCTTGACCGACATTCCTGACCAAAATCTTCACAAAATCTCAGAGGGCAAGTAATTTATAGTGAGTAACGGAAGAAAAATCTGGTTAGGAAAGTGAAGATCACGTCGACGCCGCCCACTCTCCGTTAGAATCCGTGAGCTGACGGAGAAACGATGAAATAACGGGAGAATCGGGATGATTTTTCAAATTTATTGATAAAAGTGAGAGTTGTGACGATAAGTTGAGAACGTTTATTGTTATGAGACCGTAAAACCTCAGAAAATATCAAAATATTAACAATTTTTACATCACAAAATGCGTTAAACATAAAGATATCACAAAAATGCTATATCATGACAACCCAAAAACGATTTACAGTGGGGACCTCATCCAGTGGCAAAAAACGTCCATTTTGCATCCAGGAAGTATCAAAAAAATGTGGCAAAATACCTCCCTCTCCAAGTGAAAAAAACTCCAATTTCAAAAGCCCGCCCGCTCTTTTTGTGAGGAAAAAGGCCCTTCAAAACGAAGTTTTTTTTCACTTGGAGAGGAAAGAATTTTGCCACATTTTTGATACTTCCTGGATGCAAAATTGTACATTTTTTGCCAATGGATCAGGTCCGCCACTGTATTTAATCATGAAATTTGTCTGGTATGCCACAAAGCGTTTGTTTTTGCTCTTATTCAGTGACCTTCTCACTCAATACGACTCATCGTAACCGGCTAATAAACCGACTTCTCGGATGTTTCGAATTGTTTTTTTTCTTACCAGTTTTCGCCCTAAGGAATTCGCTTTTTCATTGCGCCGAATTCGCGTTTGAATCCAGTTCCCGAGCCCTGTTTTTCGAATATTTTAACTGTCTTCCGAATTGACGGTTATCGGTCCATTGAGGAATCCGTAGTCGGTTTACGATCCCCAAGGTAAAACCGCGAACGATGAGGCTGAACGGAGACTTTACGGAAACTGGCGAATTTCCTACGAATAGCTACGGACTTAATGATGGAAAGACTCTGGAAATCCTTTAGAATACCGTAAAAAGTAAACAGATTTGATGAAAAATCAATTTATGAAAACATGGAGGCTGTTTTTGAGTTTTTTATTGAGCGTCTAACGGAATATCAGTGTCATCTAGATATATCGTTATGCACATTCCTCCAGCTTGTAATGCTTTCGTAAACAGTAACCCCTAGCTCCAATAAATTGCGACCCTTCCAGAATAAGATTTATACATACAGTGGGGGACCTGATCCATTGGCAAAAAACGTAACATTTTGCATCCTGGAAGTATCAAAAATGTGGCAAAATCCTTCCCTCCCCATGTGAAAAAACTTCGTTATGAAGGGCCTTTTTCCTCACAAACAGAGCGGGCGCGCTTTGGAAATCCGAGTTTTTTCACTTGAGGATGGAGGTATTTTGCCACATTTTTTGATGCTTCCCGGATGCAAAATGGTACGTTTTTGCCACTGGAGACAACATTTATTTTATGCTTACAATCCCTCGGCATAAACACACACCCAAGCAACCGATCGAGGAACCTAAAAAATTCTGACTTCACACTTCAAGTGTGAATTGCGGATATCCGCCTAACATTTTGTCCGAAGAATCATGCCATGGCAACGTAAAATCAAACAACTCATGACAGTCCAGTCGAAATGAACCAAGTCAAAACTTCAAATAATGGGCAAAAACTTTGAACCGAGTCATTTGATCATTTTCCATTGACAAATTTCGGTCGGAAGCCCATTAAAACGCGGGGTAAGTAATCCATTTTCTAACTGATCCTTTTCAGATATGTCAGCTCAAAGTTCGTGGCCAATAAAGCTTAGAGGAAGTAAAAAAGAATCCAAATCCGATTCTGGTCGGCCAACCAAAGTCAAAGGCAAGGATGGGAATCGGAATGGACATGTAAGCCAGTTCAGACAACAGTGGGCCAATTTCCCCTGTTGACAAGTAATCATTATGCTTCCAGAGGAAGAGTAGTGCCGAATCCTTGTCCAAACGGAAGAAAGAAGGCGAGGAAACTGCTGCCCAATTTTCTCGAGAAACGGTTGGCCACAAATCGGACTCTTCGCCCAGAAGAAGGCTGGGCAATTTCATGGACAAATTCAATCCGTTGAAGAAGCGACATTCTCCGAAAGTATGGAAATCTGGTGCTCATGGACTAATTTATCTTTGACAATATATCATAACAACATTTTCTTTTAGCATGAGTTCGAAGCGAAATCCGAGAAGAAGAAAGAAAAGTCCGAATCGAGACAAAGATCTCCACCAGTGGATACGGGACTGGCCAGAAGTCCTCCAGCTCAGAACGAGTAAGTTGACCAGGTGCCGAACCATTACAGTCGGGGACCTGATCCAATGGCAAAAAACGTACCACTTTGCGTCTGGGAAGTATCAAAAATGTGGCAAAATGCTTCCCTCTCCAAGGGAAAAAACTCCGATTTCAAAGGCGCGCCCCTGTGTGAGAAGGGCCCTTCAAAACGAAGTTCTTTCACTTGGAGAGGGAGGTATTTTGCCACATTTTTTGACACTTCCCGGATACAAACTGGTACGTTTTTTTGCCTCTGGATCGGGTCCGTCACTGTACCCTCGGGCTATGTCATGAACAATATCTATTTTTGAATGACTTCGATTATTTTGCAGTGACTACGACAAGCCCACAGTCTTTGAGAGAATTGGTACCCCAATTCGACCGTGTGTCTCCAAGCCCAAGCGAAAGAAAACGCGCAAATCCGAGGTGGAAGCCGACGTCAAGACAGGAAGAACTGAAGGTGATACTAGCACTTCGCGCGCCGATTCAGACATCCGAACTGCTCATGGCGAAGATGAGATTTCGAGACATGAGTCCTCTGCCAGAAAGAGCGAGAAATCGGTCAAAAAACAGAGCGAGAAATCGGTGAAAAAACGTGGCAGTAAAGCCGAAGAGGTCAAAGGAAGCGGCAACAAAGAAGGTGAAAGTAAGGAGAGAGCAACTAGTGTTCGAAGGACTGAGTCCAAAGAGAAGAACGGATCAAAAGCGAGCCTGAAGAAGGTCGAGTCCAAAGAAAACGTCAAGAAGGAGGAGAAAAAGAGCAGGAAGAGTGAGGAGTCCGATGTCAAATCAGTATATGTTCAAGATACGGTAAGCCTCTGCATCAAAGTTTATAAATTTCCCTCCAGTGCGTCACGACACCAAAGAAGAAGCCACCAGGAAAACGACCGGAATATTCTCGCAGCGAGGAATTCTACCGCGAAGAGTACGCCAAGTCCGAGTACGTCGAAGAGGACCAGAAAACATACGAGGAAAAGCCGAAGCCAAAAGATGACTCCTCCAAGAATGTCAAGTCTTGCTACCTCGGGTATTACAAGTAACTGAAAAACCCCTACACGTCAATCCAAAATAAAAGAAAAAATTTCCCGCCCCTTTTTGGTGATTCGTTCAAAACGAAATGTCACTATCCGATAGAAAGCATTTTCTTATCTTTCTTCTTCCTTTTCGAGAAAAAGCAATTATGTCGGGCGAAAAAAGTGCCGATAATTTCGCTTGATGTGCCCTTCCCTAGTACCGTATGGTTCCATCCAAAATATCAACAGACCTTACTCTTGTAGTGGAATTCGAATAAAAATAGATTGTTCACCTCTTTATCTTTATCACAAGCATTAAAAGATCCTCTAAACAATAAACAAAGGTGTTTGGAATTGAGTATGAGCTCTTATTGTTGTCCGGGGTTCTGGTCGGGGTTGGGATTTTGGTCGTTGGGGCCGGAGGGTCCGCGAGTGGCGTCGAATTGGCGACGGAGGTTTTCAACGAGTTCGGGGTTGCTTCTTTGCATTGTTTCAGCAATCTAAAACACAAATATGACATTACTAAAGTACTATATACTATAAAAGAGACAGACAGCCATATCTCCAGTCATATCTCGAGCAAAATTATATTACACTAGGAATTAACTATCTAAAATAATATAACAATTTCTAAAACTAATTCCAACTAAACCATCTAACTCTACTACATCTCGCTGACCTGAGCCACAGCCCCAAGGAAGGTTTGTATCCCCGCACCGACCTGTTCTCCCACTCTCAACAAATTATCGAGGCCCGGTGCCGGGGCGCCTTCTTGGCCTGGAGCTCCTCCTTGTCCCCCGAAGGCACCCATCATCTGCGACATCATGTTTTGCACATTAGGATCCTGCATCATTTGAGCTGCCATCTCAGCCATTTGCGGGTTGAGTAAGCCGCCGAGACCTCCAAGTCCACCGAGGCCACCCAAATTAGCAAAAGGATTGGCTCCGGGTGCCGCACCTTGTGCTCCAGCTGCTTCTTGGGCTTCTTTCAGCTTGTCTTCGGCGATGGAGAGGTTCTGCTTGTAACTCTCGTTGTTGGGGTCCAATTCCAGAGCGTGTTTATAGGCTTCCACGGCTTGATCGTATCGGTTCTGACAAGAGAGAGCAACTCCCATTCGGCCATATGCTTTAGCGTATTTGGGGTCCAACGCCAAAGCCGTGCGGCAATCTTGGATGGCCAAGTCGTGTTGATCCAGACGGCAATATGCTGCAGCTCTGAAAAGATAACATTTACATTGTCCATGAATGTCAAATTTCAAGCATCAAAAAATTTGACATCTGTGGTTCCTCCTTCAAGTCTAAACATAAAACAAACCAATACGAAAATACTCACCGATTACAGAAGTAAATAGGATCTCTGTTCAATTTAATGGCCTCGTTGTACTTCTGGATGGCGTCTTGAAACTGACCGGCTTTGACGAGATCATTACCCTCTTCTTTCAACTTATTTGCCTGATCAATCTCGGCCTGAGTTGGAGTGGGGAACTCTTCTTCCTCCTGGAACAAAATATAATCATAAAATTTGATTACCTTATTCATCATTCAAATAGTTAATACTATCGAGTTTTTCAATATACTCCAAAACAAAACGACCAACTCAGCTAAGAATTAAAATTCAATGAGGTGAATTGACTATATTTTACGTAGTTATCGCTAATTGACGACCTTTATAGAAAAAGTCGCCGAATTTTATGAACCGAAAGGGAGTTTTAGACGAAACGTTGACAAAAATAAGCTTTCTAGATAGAAAACAGTCTTCGAAGCAAGAAAGTGGCCGTTGTCTTGAGTAATAAAACGTAAACTCTTGATTGGAATTCGCCCAAAATTATAAATCGGTTGCTCTCACCTAAAAACAAAAAAAAACGATTTAAAATCTCACCTCTCCACTCAATCCTTCGGCTTGCTTGAAGATCTCAATCAACGGTTTGCTCGGTTGGAAAGCATAGTTCTTATCGGAGACTTCGAACGCACCTTCGATGCATTGAATGGCCACTTCCAAGGCCTCGATCTGGTCAACTGAACATTCATTTGCAGAGACTTTCTGTCGCAAGAATTGGATGAATGAAACGACAAGGTTTCGTTCGTCCTTGCTCACTTTTCCCTGCGCGGGAGGCTGTTGGGCTGGGTTCTGTTCCTCAGACATCTAAAAAATATATTGTACATGAGCTACGTATACTTCAAATATCTCGATAAGTATAGAAACCTTAAAGTGCGGAAGGAACGACCAACAAACAAAGAAGGAAAACAGCTTTAGAATTACAAGGTTAACCTCAAATTCATCAAGTTCCCTGTAAAACTCATAAAAATTCGTAAAAAACATATCTAAAGAGAAGTCTGATGTCAAGAGTAAGCTAAAAGAGTAATCTGAATGACAAAAACATTTCAAAACAGGATTTCAATATGGTCTTACGCACCATCAGCACAAAAGACTTCGAGAAAAAATGAATTTCCAAATTATTTTCAATGTCCCTGATTTCTCAGGCATTTCGTGCTGAGGCCAAAAATGATTCCTTGCGCAGCCCACAATTTGTAATTGAAAGGGTTTGTGAAGGTAAAATACGCTGATTAGAGTGAATACATATGTCTTGAAGCTTTAATTTACATTATTTTTGCATTAATTATATTACACATGCCAACTAGCCTCATTATTAATGAATTTTCGAGTAATATTGGCAAACTTTCTCCCTATATTTTGCAGAAAGATGTTCTGCTCCCGAAACCTCTGTGTTGAGCAGTTTGCATTTTGGTGTAAAAAAGATAGGAACAATGCGATTAAGTAGAACTTTATATGACTGCAAAATCCATACAGAAACCGCAAATGACTAATGATTTGTAATCGTACAAACAACAGAATCATTATTACAAAACAATACAGTTTAATTAATCTTGACCTCAATCGTCTCCTCAAAAAGGGCCAATTCTCTTCAGCGATGTCAAAATGATTGTTTTGTTTTTGGCTGCGTTGGTTTCTCTGGCTTCGGCTGGGATCAAGGAAGATCATGAAGTCAAGGATCTGCCCGGACTGAATGGAACGCTGAGTTTCAAGCAGTACGCTGGATATTTCAGCATTTCCCCAACAAGAAAATTGGCTTATTGGTAGGGGATTATAAGAAGATGAAGAAGTTTATTTAGGCTTCTGGAGTCACAAGGGAATCCAAATAAGGACCCGTTAATGTTATGGTAGGTTCTGCTTGTAACACCACTCCATGATTTCCCAATGTTTGTCTTTATTTTGGCGTCACTATTGACTACAGTGAAGGACCCGATCCAGTGGCAAAAAACGTACGATTCTGCATCCGGGAAGCATCAAAAATGTGGCAAAATGCTTCCCTCTCCAAATGAAAAAAAACTTTGTTTTGAAGACGCGCCCTTTTTCCATACAGAAAGATTGGACGCGTTTTTGAAATCAAAGTTTTTTCACCTGGAAAAGGAAGCATTTTGCCATATTTTTGATACTTCCCGGATGCAAAATGGTACCTTTTTTTCCACTGGATCTGGTCCCTCACTGTATGTAATTTCAGGCTGGATGGAGGGCCGGGCTGCTCGTCACTGTCTGGAATTCTCCTGGAAAACGGGCCTTTCCGAATTTCAACTGCCGGTAAACCCGACGGCGTTTTGTACGAGAACCCCCATGCCTACAATAAAGTAGGCAAAACTCTTGTTTCTCATCGCTTTTCAGTTCGCCAACGTCCTGTATTTGGAAGCCCCAGCCGGTGTTGGTTTCTCAAGACTCGACGATGACAAGTTCAGCTTTACCGACAACGAGACAGCCACCGATAACCTGAAGTTTTTGCAAGAGTTTTTAAAGGCATATTCGGAATACGAGAACCGAGATTTCTTCATTTCCGGGATCAGCTATGCCGGATGCTATGTTCCACATCTTGCTGACACTATTATCAACCACAAAGATGAGATAAAATTGAATTTGAAGGTAATAGAGGTCTTACAAAGCACCGCTAATTTCAGGGAATTGCAATGGGGAACGCAATTACGGATCAGAAGTGGCTCAATCAACTGAGCATTCCAAATACCGCGTTCTATGGAATATTACGACTGAACAAGCTGAACGAATGGACAAACGAGTATTGCCCCACGGGATTCGAAAATTTCTGCGGAAAAGAAGTTGCGCAAAGTCCTACGGCGAACGTGCCCATAAACCGTTACGACTTTGCCGATCAATGTGGTCCGGACTGCGAAGAGCCGTTTATGCAAGCTTTCCTGAACAACCACAAAGTGAAGGATGCTCTTCATTTTGAGCACAAACATTGGACACATTGCAATGAGAGGTAATTATTTTTTCCTTGGCTTACAGGGGAAGTACCCCAAGTGCGACGCTCAATTTTCTTTAAATTTTGCACACATCTCTGGAACGGACCAAATATCAATTCCTGAAAGTTTTAGCTCGCGCTTTGCAGGCGCCGCCGAGATATTGAACGATTTTTGTCGCCGAGAGAACACACTAAGCGTGGAGAGCGGCGAAAGAGAAAAAAAGTTTTTGGCCGTAACTTCGCTAGTTTCGCTCGAAAAAATTAATTTTTTGGTGGAAACATTACCCTTTACGGTAGAAATTGGTGTGAAAACTTTCGTGCCGAAGTTCGGCAAAAATTGTCTAATTTCGCCAACTTTCGATCTAAAAATTTCGGTTGTTTCTGCAAAGTGCGAGCTGCACTTTGCAATGATCTTTGCCGCCGAGAGAGTAAACTAAACGTGGAAAGCGGTCAGAGAGAAAAACACTTTTTGGCCATAACTTCGCTAGTTTCGAGCGGAAAAAAATTGATTTTTTGTGGAAACATTGTTCTCTGTGGTAGAAATAAAGTAAGCATGAAACTTTTCGTGCCAAAATTCGACAAAAAGTCCTAAATTTTCGTCGACTTTCAATCTAAAAATCTCGATTGTTTCTGCAAAGCGCGAGCTCGGATTTTCGCATATATTTTAGCAAAATTATTCTAAATTTGTGCCAAGTTTCATCAAAATCTGAGCGTCGCACTTGGGGTACTTCCCCTGTTAGATACATGGATGACTTTGTACTTTTGCTCAGGGTTTCTCAACAAACTTATCCGTTGCGTGAAGACTAGGGAGAATAGCCGGTTAGACTTTCTTAAAAAGGGTTAACTTGCATTAATGTTTTGTAATTAAATAACTAAATATTATATTTTTTTTTAATTTTCCTAATTTCCTAGTCTGATGAACACCTTTTTTCAAAATCTTTGCGATGATGCAGAAGCGCTTGTGCGAGATCTTTTGGCCCACAAGATAAGAGTCCTTTACTACTTCGGAACTACAGGTAAGCCACTCACTGTTACAATAAGCTCTTTGTAGACAACAGAGTCCCCTTTATCAGTGGTGATTTCTTTGCTCGAAAAATTGGAGGAAATGGGGAACTAACTCATTGGTTTGTGAACGGAGTTTACTCTGGGACAAAGACTCACTATCCAAACAACATCACGTTCACAACGGTTCTGGGGGCCGGCCATCCATCGGCGAAACACAAACCTCAGCAAGTCGCCAACGTCATTCAGAAGTTCATTAGCGGTGACGATAATTGGGATGCCTAAAGCATTATATGAAGTTTAATCAAATGGTTAATCTTTTTTCAAAAGGTCGATAAAGATAAAGCAATTCTTTCTTTATTTTATTGAGATGGTGGGCCCACATTTGTGGGCAACCACTTTGCATTTTTACAGGAGACTGACTTTTCGGTCCTCCCTGTTTCGGGTGGCGCCTTTTCGGGCTCGCCTTTTGGGGTGAGAGACTTTTCGGTCCCCGTCCTTACGGTAATTTTTTACTTATCACCCGAAAAGTCCTCACCCGAAAAGCCCAGGGACCGGAAAGGCGCCAGCCGAAAGGACGGGGACCGAAAAGTCTCCCACCCCAAAAGGCGGGCCCGTAAAGGCGGGGACCGAAAGTGGGGTGACCGAAAAGTCCTGACCATTTTTACAGGGTCTTTCAAGAAACGTGAAGGAAAGTCGGAGGCTATAACTTTCGGCGGAGGCGGCGTAGAGACTTCGTTTTTGAAATATGTAAATATTTTTAAGCGACATTAATTTTTGTCTATGAAATAGCAACATTTTAAAGTGCAAACTGAGGTCGCTACGACCTTTTTAACAAAATAGGGCCTTTTACCCCGAAAACTAGTGTTTTTTGGTTGAAAATGATCGAAAATGGTCGAGGCCAAAATCAATTAAATTGTATTGTTTTGTAATCTTAATACTGATTTTTTGTACAATTACAAATAATGAATCACTTGGCCATTTTTCTCCTGATTTTTTGGAAAATGATTTTTTCTGACTATCAATTATTTATCTACTCCAATCTTCAACATCATTCACAAATTTCCAAACCGCATTCATCACTTGTTTTGGTCTGGTCAATGCAGCGGAATGCCCAGCGCCATAAATCGTTGTATACGTCAGTTTATTGTTATAAGAAGTTTTTGTCCCAGCGTAGTTTCCATCAACGTTCCAGTCCATTGTTCTGCCGACTCTGCCGATTTTCCTTGTAAAGAAGTCACCTTCGAAGAAGGAGCAAATGAGATCTGCAAAGAAATTATTATAACGCCATGTTTGAGGCAGTCAAACCATCAGTTATGTGTCAGTGAAAAGTCGTTGAGACTTACCAGTTGTTCCGTAGTAGTACAAGGCTTTCACATTTCTTTGTAAAATCCGTCGGACAAGCTGCTCCGTATCAGTACAGTATTGGTAGTTCAGATTTCTGTAAAATTTGATGAAATTTTTGTTTTATAACCCTCATTTCTTACTGATTACAATGAATCCATTCCTTGTTCTCGACATGCAATGCCTTCTTTACACCTTTTTGATTAAAATATCTGACCATTGAGTCGCCCTCGCAAATCTTTCCACTGTAGCATTTCCGGCTCACATCATATGAATTCAACCCCGTTTTGTTGGCAATTTGAGGGCTGTTGACGAGCTCTTCTCCACAAAAATCGGCAAACCCTTTAGAGCAATATTTCTTCTCCCAGTCTGTCAAGACTTCGCGGCTTTGCAGACCGTTGAAGACCAGCGTTGGAAGTTGAAATTTACCCCATAAAGAGAGAGATGTCACTGGATTTCCGAGGATAATTCCCTGAAAAAATGAGTCAGATTAGAGGCAGTAACCTGCCTTTAACTTGAGGCTGAATTGGCCAAATGGTTCTGCTATTTTGTTGGCGAGATACGGCACATAACATCCAGCATAGCTGATTCCAGCAATGTAAAAATCTCGGCCGTTGTATTCAGGGTAAGCCATCAGAAATTGCTGTAGGAATTGAAGATTGTCAGTGGCTGTCTGAAAGATAATTGATTCTTTTTTGAAGAGCTCTTTACTGGCTGCTTACCTTGTCATCATCATGAATGTAGCTTGAGTCTTTGTTGATTGAAAAGCCAGTGCCCGCCGGGCTTTCGAGATAAAGAACATTGGCAAACTGAAGAATACATAATTATTTACACATGTATTGAGGAGGATATACCTTATTAAAAGCGTAATCATTTCTCCTAAACTCAAGGCGCTCTCCATCTCCAACAGGAAGAAGAAACGGTCCATTTTCCATTACAGCTCCATAAAAGGAAGAGCATCCTGGACCGCCGTGAAGCCTAGGAGAATAAAAATCAGCTAGTTTGGTACTTTTAAATATATAAGTTAAAACTTCAATGAAGCACAACTGCTCCGAAAAAATCATTTTTTTTTAATTTAGGTCTTACCATAAAATTAACGGATCTCTTGCTGGATTGTTTTGAGATTCGAAGAGCCTGTAGATCATATTTAAAGATAAAAAAGGAATATATTTGGAAGCATGCATATCAATTTCTTACCAATAAGACAATTTCCTAGTCTTGGAGACATTCAAGTAGCCTGCGTAATGCTCAAAGTTGATCCTAAAATTCCAACCCGGCAAACAGGTGACCCTATGGGCATCTTTAATTTCAGCGTTGGCAACCCAAGCTAAAGTTATTAGAAAAATGCAAATAATCATCGCCTTGAACTCTAGTAGCTTTCGAAAAACCCAACTATAATATTTCAAAGGTTGGCCAAGTTTGTCCCACCATTTGTTTGTGTATGATTCATATTTTATTTGCCTTCAGGTAAAATTAGTTCTTTATTTTGTAGTCTTACGAGCTTTTAATCCAATAGTTTTTTATTAAAAATGGTTGTTTTACTCATTACTCCAATCGCAATCATCGTTGCATGTGATAAACTTGGTAATGGCACGTTTCACTTGCTTCGGTTTGGCCAACGCGGCCGCATGACCAGCTCCGATAATCGTTGTATAGGTCAGGCCATTGGGGTAGGTAGTTTTGATCCCCGCAACTTGCTCATCCACGTACCACACGTTCATTCTAATTTTACTTCTGATTCCCCCAATTTTCCTTGTAAAGAACTCTCCTTCGAAAGTTGGGCAAATCGCATCTGGAAGTTGGTTTTACAAGGAAAGTACTTTTATGGGGGCTATTACTTTTCGACGGGACACATCTCATAAAATCCGAAAAATTGTGCTGATCAAGAATATATGTATAGAAAAGAGCTGCCCATTTTTGGGTTTAAGGGTTGAAAATGCTCAAAAACTGCCTAAATTTGTCAGCAAAAGGCGCAGGCGTTGCAAAAAAGCAAAAAAATATAAAGCGCGGCCGCGCTTTATATGTGCGGTCGGTCTCTTCCACCGGAAGAGAGCAGCGTGGCTGAGTGGCTAGTGCAACAGTCTGGAAATCAAGAGCGGCGATGCCGTGCGGGTTCGATTCCGTTTTGGGCTGAATCAACTTTTTTGAAGTTGAAGGTCTAAATGCAGTGGGAATAGTATTTACCTGTGCTTCCATAGAAGTATAGCACTTTTATGCCGTCATCCAAAATCCTGCGGACATAAGGCTCTGGATCATCACAGTTTTGGTTGAACTCCATTTGTCTGCAAACAAAAATGATATGATTAATTTCGTATTGCATCTGTTGCATCCCAACCTTTCAAAATTGCAAGTTCTCTCATTAAACCTTACAATGTCCGATCGCAATAAACCCAGTCAACATCGTCCATGTGCAGAGCCTCCTTGACTTTTGGCTGATTGAAAAACCTATCCATTGAATCGCCCTCACAAGCACCTCCACTATAGCAGGGTTGCGTTAAATCGTACGCATTCAGAGGTCGGACGAGAAACGTGTTCGGGCTGCCCATCAATTCCTTCCCGCAGAAATAGTCAAAACCCTTAGGGCAGTATTTTTTCTCCCATTTGGCTAAACTGGTTGGATTTTCAATTCCGTTAAAGACCAAGGATGGAAGTTGAAATTTGTCCCACCATTCACGCTTCGTCACCGCATTGCCAAGAATTACTCCCTGGGAAAAGCATGGAAAAGGAGTAATATTGGCCTACTTTTAAGCTTAGATCCAAAGCACCTTCCTCGTCGAGAATTTTGTTTGCTAAATATGGGACGTAACAACCAGCATAGCTGATGCCGGCGACGTAAAAGTCGCGAGACTTGTATTCCGGATATTCAACAAGGAATCGCTTCAGAAACTCAAAATTGTCGTCAGCTGTCTGAAAATAGAGGTTACTACGTGTACATTTTCCATTCTATATTAACCCACTTTGTCGTCACTATGAGTGTAATTGTCTTCTTTGTTGATAGAGAATCCGGTATACGCCGGGCCTTCGAGGTACAAAACATTTGCAAACTAAAATGAGAATGGCTTCAAGAAAACCTCCAAAGCGCCAAAATGGGAAAGCCCCATTCGACTGTAACAAAGTAAGAAGATCATCTTTATCTCTTACCGTATTATAGGCATGGGGGTTCTCTTTGAACACAAGATCTTTTCCGTCTCCCTGCGGAAGCAACAATGGGCCATTTTCGATTACGGCGCCGTAAAATGAAGAGCATCCAGGGCCTCCGTGCAGCCTAAAAATTTAATCAGAGATTCCACTGATATTTCATGGAAACGTGGTCAAAATTTTATTGCTGCTTTACAATAACCTACCACAGAATTAACGGATCAGTTTTCGGAGCATTCTGTGACTCGAACAACCTGCAAGCGCAGTAGATCGTTGAAATAAGGCTGCAACCTTACCAATACGACAGTTTTCGAGTCTCTGACACGTTTAAGTAGCCAGCATAGTGGTTAAACTTGTCATTGGAGTTCAAGTACCTCACTTGATGCTCTTCCTTCACGCTTGCATTTATAGTGCATACAAGAAAGGTAAGAATCACCATACAAAAAAGAAAGGACTTCATTATAAAATTTCGCCCGATAGATTATAAGAAAATCGATTGCTTTTTTCAAATTTTCCATTTTCTATATGATGAATCAATCAATGAATAACCGGACTATGTCATCAATTCGACATTTTAAATTGCCTTTTTGATCCTTTTGAAAGATGATTTATTCAGCATAGAAGACATTGTTTATCTCATCAAGGATTCTCAAAGCTTTTTACTCATTCCAATCACTGATATCGTTGATGAATTTCCGCAGAACATTAGCCATCTGCTTTGGTTTGCCCAAAGCCGTTGGATGGCCAGCCCCAGCGATTGTTGTAAATATCAGGTTGTTTGGGTAGACCGTCTTTGTGCCAGCATAATTCCCATCGACAAACCAATGACCCTCCACTCCCACTTCACCAATCTTTCGAGTAAACAGATCTCCCTCGATGAATGGGCAAACGGTGTCTGGAATGTTTTTGAATTCTCGCATAAAATTGGGCATATGCCCCTTGACCTACCCAGATTGCCATAAAAATACAAAACCTTGATCTTTTTGTCCAAAATTCCACGAACAATTGGTTCCATATCATAAAATTCAGTGTATGAGATACTACTACAATAAATTTCTATAGTCCAAATTTCACATATATCATTTACCCGCAATATACCCATGGTTTGTCATCAAAATGCAGCGCCTTTTTCACCTCCGGCTGGTTGAAGTAATGGTTCATTCCGTTCCCAGCGCAGGCCAAGTCGCTTCCACATTTTTGACTAATATCGTATTCGTTAACACCATCGTCTTTAACATGAGGCGCATTTTCAATTTCATCTCCGCAATAGTTATCAAAGCCTGTCGGGCAATAATTCTTCATCCATTCGCCAAGTTCCAAAGAACCTCTGAGGCCATGGAAAGCGTAAGCCGGGAGGGAGAACTTATCTAGCCACTTGTTCTTCGTCACGGCATTACCCATCGCTAAACCCTGAAAAAATTTTGTTTTGCGTGTTTAACTATGTATAAGAAACATTGCACGTCAAACTGAGGAGTCCGGTGACCGGAATAGACCCTTCGCTATCGGTTTTTTACACTTCGTCTTGATTTCGCAGAGAAAGAGAGAAAAAAGACACGCAAAAACATGCTCTCTCGCCCCAAAAATTCCCCATTTCTTCCCCGACAAAACGTTTTTTCGCGTCTTTTTTTGGCAAATTGCCAATCCATTCACTGGACTGTTTTAGCTTATCTCAGTTTGACGTGCATTGCTGTAAGGATACGATTTACCTTCAACTTCAATGCCAAGGAATCTCCCGCTTCAAGCACCTTCTCCGCGAGTGTTGGAACATAAGCTCCAGCATAGCTAAAGCCGGAAATATAGAAATCTCTTCCTTTGAAGTTTGTGTGAACTTCCAGGAACGCCTTGAGGAATGTCAGGTTGTCAATGGCTGTCTGCAAACGGCGAATTTTGGGCTTGATGCTATAGTATGACCGACTTACAGTATTATCATCATTTGCAAAGTCGGGATTCTCATTAACGGAAAATCCAACACCTGCGGGACTTTCCAAATAGAGAACATTGGCAAACTGTAAGGAAAAGGGCTAGAGAAAACGCAGCTGACTTACTGTGTTATAGGCGTGAGGATTCTCTTTTAAGACGAGTTCAACATCGTCTCCAGGATCCAGTCGGAATGGTCCGTTCTCAACGATTGTTCCGAAGAATGACGAACAACCGGGACCACCATTTAACCTAGAAAAATATACTATCAGAACATGTGGTCAACAAAGAGGCCTTGTCGTGCCATCCTTACCACAAGAGCAGTGGATCATTGTCGGTGTTATTTTGTGATTCAACAAGCCTAAAGTGAAACAAACTTGTATTATCTCTGTTCCTTGCAAGTTCTTCCTACCAATACGACAATTTCCTTGTGGTCGACACATTCAGATACCCGGCGTATTGTTTGAACTTCGGAGTGACAGTCAGCCCGGGCAACGACTTAATCTCGTGGTCGTCCCTTATGTCACAATGCACGAAGGCTATCAAAATCGCAAACAAAAACAATATCATCATGATCTGGCTTCATTTCCAAGGAACGACTTGTATTTAAAGCAGCCAATTGCTAATTAATTTCGTATTGTTTCGTACACAATCATATTGGCCTCTGATTCATGGACAACGGTATGAATGCGAAGGAATTGAAAATCTCTTTTCGATCGTTCTGTTCCTTGGAATATCATGCAGCACGCAGAGACCCTTCCGCTAAACATGCTCTCACATCTACATACATTCTGTAAATATATGACCAACCAAATTCGAACATAGAGATACGCAAATTGTCTTCTATCATGAGCACTTGAACCTTTTCCTTGAAGAAATTCTATCGATTATATCATATACACAAGCCACAAAAATTATCAATGTAATGGTTCAGCGGGAATTTAATTTATCGAACGATTAAAGTTTGCCACTCCTTTTTTGACAAGCCAAACTACGTTTAAAAAAAATTTCGTTTATATAACACCAATCTTTCTCTCGAGTCTAAAAATTTTAAAGTCCAAATATGAATTTGCTTTCGCTTGTAGCGACCATTTTATTGGTAAACTGTGGTGACGGATACGTTGACAACTTCTATCTTTCGGCTGCATTCTTCGACAACATCAACATCTCCAGAAACCTGATGTTGGACATTTCCTCCGCCGAGACTTTTGTTCTTGACGCGAATTCTTTTCCCAATGTTGGTAAAAACAATTCTTTCGATGCAACAAAGTCGATAACATTTCATAGAACTGTAAATTTTTCAACTACTTATTCTAATTTGACCAATGACGAGGAATTTACCGTTTCTGGTTATAAAGGCGACGACTTTGTGGACCTCCCATTCCGCGTCGAAGCCGAGTTTTCAGTGGCAACAGGGATCAGAGGCGATGCCTTGAAGAGCAATGGGAATGACCAGTATGCCGGCAGGATTGGATTTTCAAAAGGGAAGTCGTTGATTCGAGAGAAGTTGTTCGAAAAGGCCAGTTCAAAGATGATTTGCTTCTTTTTGACTACCCTCTTGGAGGAACAGAAGTAAGTGGATTGATGTATAATTTTTTTATCCTTTACTATTTGCTACATAGAGAGTTTTGCTCGAATCTTTTATTTTTAGAATCGGATTTAAGCTTGTCACATGGTTCAAACTCTACAACAGCACAACGCTCACAGTCAACACCTCTGCTGAAGCGAATTCTGAAAACCTTTGGCAAGTGCCAGTGACCTCTTTGGAGATTGGGAAATTCAAGTCCAATTTTAAAGCTATTGCGGTTTTATCGACAACTTTGTCCGGAATCACAGTCCCCGAACGATTTTTAGCGCCAATCGTGCGAGCGCTGAATGGCCAGTGGGACGCAGAGAAGAATTATTACAAAGTGGATTGTAGCGCCAAACTTCCATTGACGATTGGAGTTGCCGGAAAGCCAGTTGAAATCGGGTTCAATGGATACGTTGAAACGGTGGATTTCAAGAAGCCGGAATGCCGATTGAGAATACGATCTCACAAACGCGACTTGTTTGTGCTTGGACTTCCTTTGTATGTGAATCGAGGAGCTTGCATTGATTTTGCTACTGACACTGTTGCTTTGTTTAGAAGATGAGGAGTCATAAAGATAGTTGAAGAGAAATTGATCAATAAATATTACGCATTTATAGGTAATACTCGTATTTAGCATTAATCATCATTTTTTCCATAAAGAGGGAGCCTTACTGTGACCTTGGATACAGTGCAGTGAATTGCCTCAATCACATTATAGCACATCATTGATATAAAGAATGATCAAAAATTCATTATTTTGTAGTATTATACAATTTCTTAAAGCATGACGTAAATTGTTGATAAGAAACAACTCCCAAACTCAATTTTCACATTAATAAGTCTTCCTTATAGAATTAAAAGTCTGTTTGCAATGTTGAGAACAGCATTCTTCCTGCTGTTTTTCTCAACCTTAGCCTCAGGCTATATCACTAATTACTATGTAACAGTCCGATTAAACGATCAGCCAAATGTTGATCGGCATTTCATTATTGATACTACCGCTAGTCAAAGTTTTGTGATCCCATTCGCCAACTTTTTGAATCATCCGGAAAATTATGCGTCTTGGGGTTCAAAGACGTATAAGAGATTGCCCGGAGAGATTGCAGAGGACTATCAGTACTCGAAGGCAACAGTGAAGGGCGGCCTCGCTGAAGACGAGATTCATTTGGACAACAAAACTTTCCGGGGGCAGTTTTCGATCTCTTCAACATTACTGAACGCGAACCCGGCCATTAATTTCCATAAGCGCTGGTCCATTGGATCGATTGGATTGTCGAGGAAGAAGGTGGAGGGATCGCTGAAGGATGCCATCTTGGAGCAGTTCGAAGAGAAGAATGTTTGTTTGTCCACGGCTCCGGGAGAGAAGACAAGGTGAGAGATAAATGATACCTTTAATAAAGGAGCTTATCATAGGGCAAGATCGATTTTTTTTTGTGATAGAATAGGATAGCCAAAAGAAAATGAAACGTAATGCAACGTGCAAATATTGTAACTTGGTTGACAACTCTAATTACGGTTTTTTGCCGCAAGCAAGATGATTAGCCTGCATTTTTCGAAGATGAAAAATGCCTTGATTTCAAAAGTAGAGAAGCAACTTACTAAACAATTTCTTTAAAATTTGAAGCCATCCTCAGGCCTCCTTTTCTTTTCGTTTCAAATCACACTCATTTTACAGTGGCGTAACGAGCTACACAACTATTGGAGCAAAGTCTTTCCCCAAGTCGGCCTTCCTGACTAAAATCATCGCCGAAGACAACCAGCAAGGCCATTGGCAATTCCCATTGAAATTCGTCAAGCTCGGATGTTTCAACGCCATTAAGCCTGACGAAAGTGCTATTTTGTCTACTGCTACTGACGACATCATCGTGCCATACGATTATTTCAGTTTCATCACGGATGTTTTGGGAGCTAAATTTGATGACAAACACCAAGGATATCTCGTAAATTGCACCAAAACGTTGCCATTCCTTGTTGGAATCAACGATGAGATCTTGTCGATTCCATTTGGCTCGTATACAGAGAAGAAAACGGATGGAACTTGTCTGTTGAAAATTCGCTGGAAGAGAGATGTCGACTACTTTGTGTTGGGTGCTCCGTTGTTGGTGGAGACCGGGGTTTGTTTGGACTTCAAGACATCTGTCTTGACTTTCTTCAACACAAACGAAAAGGCTACTGAAATTGAAGAGAAAAAACTGCCCAAGAAATGCTGAAAACAATGTAATTTGAATCTGTGAATAAAGATTATGAGTATCAATAGTAGTGTGTATGTGGAAGACATTAAGCATAAGGTTAAAAACAAGGCCTAATTGTAAGGAGTAGCCTTTTTATTGGGCTCTTGAAATTCGAATTAAAAAAGGCTTAAAGTGCGACAGCTTTTCTAATTTTGCATACACATCGAGCATGGGTTGCACGTTAATGCCTGAAAATTTTAGCCCGCGCTTTACATGCGCAGCCGAGATATTGGCCGACATTTGAAAGTACACAAAATGTGGAATGTGGTCCGAGATAAAAACACTTTTTGGTCCTATGTTTGCCAGTTTTTCATTAATTAAAACGTCAGCTAATTAATTTATTGGTCGGAAAATGATTTCATTGTCTTTATCTTGTAAGTCAAGCATTAAAAGCGATGCAAGTGAGTTGATAACCGCCTCAAATGATTGGTTTTCTCTTTGTGTTCCATGCGTTATCTCGAAAAGCAGGTTAACCTCAACAGGACACTCCTTATGTACATCATAATCTCCAAGGGTTACTCTGACAAGCGGACTTTGAATTAGTTAAAGGCCAAAAGTTTCTATCGCCCGTTATTTTTCAACAACTTTTGGCCTGAAAAAATAGATTTTCTAAAATGTTTCTATTATGTAATGTAGTGTAGTGTAGGATCAAAGGAATAGGGTTTTATTGACACCGCACACAAAGAAAAGAGAAATGAGATTAATGTTCTATAATTGGTGACATGACGTTGATTTTATATGAGTTGGTTTGTGCTAATTTTTTGGGAATTGTGGAGGCTTTTGAGGCTCCACAACATGTAACTTGTGTAAGCTCCACAACATGCAATGTGTAATGATCCATATAATTTTTCAGAAAATGCAAATACCCGTCTTCCTCGCACTTTGCATAACAACGACCTGGGCAGTTGATCTCCGCACCGACTTCTCCATAACTTTCCGCTACCCAGATTCCCACGCCCATTGGCCACGTAAACTTTTGGTTGACATTGCGAGTTCGGACGCTTTCATCTACGATCAGGTGCGATTTCCCAAGCTTTCGAGTACTCGAGCCGTCAACACATCAGAGTCCAAGACATTCAACAATCTTGATATACCAGTGAGTATCACTTATAACTCGCCGTTTGCCGATGAAAAGACCGATATGATAGTAGGATACGTTGGAGAAGACAATCTAAAATTCGACGGTAAGGACTTGAGAACTAACCTCGTTTTTGCCACGTTGAGCTTTGCGGATCCGGGAAAAGGAATAACTGGAGAGGGGTTTGCTGGGAGGATTGGATTGGCAAAAGAGAGCGGAAAAACTGAATTGAGGGACGACTTGTTCAAGGCGGCCGGCAAGAAACTGGTGTGCTTGCTATACAGCACCGAACTGGATGGAAGGTAACGAACTTTTTTTTACAGAGGAAGACGAAATGTCGCGAAATTATCGGCACTTTTTCTCGTCCGAAATAATTGCTTTTTCTCAAAAAGGAAGAAGAAAGATAAGAAAATGCTTTTTATCGGATAGTGACATTTCGTTTTGAACGAATCACCAAAAAGGGGCGGGAAATTTTTTCTTCTAATTATTTTGGATTGACGTGACAGGGTCTTTCAAGAAACGTGAAGGAAAGTCGGAGGCTATAACTTCCGGCGGAGGCGGCGCGGAGACTGTATTTTTAAGCGACATTAATTTTTGTCTATGAAATACCAAAATTTTAAAGTGCAAACTGTGGACTAGTCCTTCTAGAAAATTTTTGATAGTGTAACAACCCTTTCCATTACTTTAACACCATTATTTTAGCAATAGCTCAACAAGGGTTACCATCGGTACCAATCCGTTGCAAGACAGGACCCCTCACCTCCAAGCCAAGTCCTTGAAAAACGAGTTCCGCTTATGGTCTGTGAATGTGACTCGATTCACGATTGGTGGCAACATCTTGGGCAAATCTGTTCAAGCCTATTTATCAACCACCACAAACTTCCTTACGGTCCCATCAAATTATCTCCAACTCATTGTGAGACAAACGAGAGCAAGGTATGACGAGAAAGCCAGCCTCTACGTTGTAGACTGCGCTACAAAGAACAAATTGTTCTTCTACATCAATGGAAAGGAATTTCCAATAGAAGCACAGAGTTATATTGCAAAGCGTGGCAATGTGTGTTATCTGAAAGTGAGAGAAGGAACGTTGGTGCTTGGATCTCCGTTTTTTGTCAACCTTGGAGTTTGCTTGGACTTTGAGAAGGACGAATTCAGTATTTATCGACTTAAACCTTGAGACGTCAAGGAGATTATTTTATTTTGTAACGGCGTGTTATGTCTTACAATCAAGCCAGTCAATCAGCAGAGAAATAAACGTTATATGTATGTAACGACTCTAGTGGGTATATCTACTTGGTACGAGTAGCCCTTGCAGAAAAACTTTCAATGACATCAGATATGACATCCTGATTAAAGAAGGTTGATCAAGGCTTCTAACACAGTTAAAAATGCCAGGAAAATATGTATTGCGCAATGGCTTTGACGATGATAAATTACATAAAACTTGTTTGCTTTGCAACTATTTATCACGCTTCTTTTTTACAGAGAAACCTTGGTACCAGAAAGATTGCAAGACCCTTGGCAGACAAAAACACCGCGTTGAAAAAGAAGTCAGTCTCCTCATTTGAAACCGAGGTTTTAACACAGGCTCCTGTCAAGAAAAATGTGTATACTTGGCGTAAAAAAGGACAAGTATCATAATGACTGCGTGGTAGCGTTAGCCGTATTTGGGCTGTTTTTTGTATTCACTTTGATCTTGTAGGTTTATGTTGAACATCTTTTTTTCGTTATTCTTTGATAGCGATACAATAGAACCTCAGCACAAACAATCTTTCGTGAAACGAAACCATCCCAATACCATAATTTTTTGGGGCCCAAGAGCCAGTTTTAGGCCAAAACAAACCCCCGGAAAACGAAAAACTCACCTAAAAAATATACTTTTTTTAAACTTTTTGGAGCCTTGCGAGTGCAGGGGTTCGATTGCAATATCATGTTTCTTACATACTTAGCTGATGACAGCCAGGTTCCTACCCAACATTTTTAGGGCCGCCATAATGATCATTTTCATATCCACCGGCGAAGCAATCCGTGGCCTAAATGAAGAAGCCTTGGCCAAGAATCCACTGCTTAAACTTGTAAACATCCATTATGAATCCGTTGTTGGCGATGAATTCTTGAAAGGTCATGAAGAAGAAGCCGAAGAAATGAAACGCTATAAAATTCGGATTACCCATTTAGTCGTGATTGGACTAATTCAGAATTCAACTTTGTTGGAAGAGGATGTGAAGACGGGCGAGTGCAAATTGGTCTGCGAACGTACGTTTTATACAGTCTAGCTCATTTTTAAAAACTTTCTCTTGACTGACTTCACTACAACTTCAGAATTTGACGAAATCTTCAAGGCTTCTCTTGGGAACCTTTACAGAACAAAACAATCCGCATTTCCAGAAGCTCTGAAGAAATTAGAAAAACAGGCCCAAAAAGTAGTTCAGAAGACCATTTACTCCATCTTTCACAAAAACGATACTACAACGCTGTTGGCGGCCAAGGAGTTGTCTACAAATCAAGCGCTTCTTCGTCCTGCATACCGCTTCTTTATTCCTGAAATAAACTGATTTTTTGGAAAGTTTTGTAGTGTGTATTAGAGGGGTTTGAAGAGGTCGATCAGGTTTCGTGGTAGCGGAGTGAGTCATGCCAAAATTTGGGAACAAGCCATTACGGGGTTAGGACGTGCGGAACAACGCTTACGGGTTAGAATGTGCGCAATAAAAAATGTTAAAACTTTACAAGCTTAGAAGATCCGATAAAATTAACTCTAAACTTAACTAGACTTAACTTGTAGCTTTTGACTTGTCAAAAAAATTATAAATCACCTCTCCCATATACATATATGGCTCGGGACTTCTAAATCTCTCCGCAAGAGTCCATCCGAACCCTGCAAATTTAGTACAAAGTTAAAAGTTGCGCAATCTGACATAACATTGCGCAATTTCTCTCTTTGTAAGAATTTCTGCCTTTCTCTGTCGTCTCCTCCTTTTTTGTCAACTTTTAACTTTGGACTAAATTTCCAGGGTTCGGATGGACTCTTGCGGAGAGATTTAGAAGTCCCGAGCCATATATGTACATGTTTTTGTCTAATACAGTACAAATTTTCAAACTCTTTACGTCCAATTACAGACGACGGAGACCGATCAGCATACACTTTTCTTTCCATCAACTAAAATACCCTATAATTCTGGTGTCTCCATTATAATAAATAATTATGATTTGAAAACTTTTTTATTCAACGAAAAAATCATAAACTGGCTGAATGATTTCTGCATTGTGGAGTTCTTCAACAGACTTGAGAGCATCATTACGTTGAATGTTCTTTACAGTTTCAGCAATAATCTTCTTCAATGGAGCTTTCAGTTGTTTCATGGCCTCTGGGAAATAGATGTAACCTTTCATGTGAAGATGGCCGGCCGCAACGTTGTAGACAACATTGAAGTCTGAAGCAGTAAAATTTAGAAAATGAAGTCTTAAGATGACAGAAAACGAATTCTAAACCTACGATTACACATTGCGTTGCAATTTCCATTGTTTTGCTCTACATCAGACACCAACGCTTTCAAATTCGAAGTCAACGCAACGGCTGCTAAAGAAGTTATCCGAGTTTTGTGTTTCTTCAATAATTCGGATGTTTCCCTATCTCCGCTCATGTATACATCTCCCATAACCATCTCATAATTGTAGGTGATAGTTCTGATCAAAGGATTTCTTGCCAAAAGTCTTTCATCCAGTCCGGGGATATCGTCCAAGTCCTTGTAATAACCGTTAATTTGGATGTAGATTAACCTGAAAAAAGTCGGGTGTATGAGGTGAATTGTGAGCTAGAAGTCATGCAGATTCGATGAGAAAATTATATAGTATGAAAGAAAAAACTTACAAGCCCAAACTGAGAAAGAAACCGGTGATGTACAAAAGAAATATTCCAGCGCCGCAAATATTAAATACCGCGTTTTCCTTACGTTTGTTGCTTGCCATTGTTGTGGATGATAATGAAAATGATATGTTTTCTCTCTTTAATGTCACTACGGATTTGGCAGAAATATTTTGCAACGCTCACGAAGTTCAGAAGCGCATAACAGACAAAACATGAAAATATAAAAAAAATGGGTTTTACAGATCATTTTGGGGTTTTCATCGATAAGAAGAATGTGTATATGTGTTGTTAGAGAAGAGGGAAAGAAGGATGATTATAAACCATGGTTGTACTTCATGACTTTCCTTGGGATTCTCGTCGTGCCAGGGTGAGTGTGGACACCAATATTGAAATTTTTATAAAGATAAATTCGTAGGTAAATTACTATTATTTACCTATATTGGTGCGGCGAAAATCTGGCCAAGACATTGAAATATATATTTGAAAAAAATATTCGTTATAATTTCTTGGTAGATGAAGGATCTTTCTTGCCCGAAATTTCCGTTCCGGGCTCTAAAGTCCATCGTAATACGAAGGCTTCATTATACGGGGTTTTGTGGTATAAGGGTTTGACTCTACATACCTAAAGAGGTGTATGTGTACCAGAAAACTTTTTGACAAAAAAACTTGTCAGCAAAAAGCAATTTGTGACACATTGCCTCTGCACATGCACATCTACAATGTATGCACCACAGATCGATCTTCCAAATAATCGTTCCTTTTTCAGACTAACGGCATTTGCAATCTTCTCTATTCACCAAAACTCCGACGACATCCCTGGCCTTGACGAGAAAGCTCTGGCCAATAATTTCCTCATCAAATCCGTTAGTATTCACTACGAATTCGCTGTTGGCGAAGAATTCTTAAAAGGCCATGACGACATGGCAGACCTTTTGAAACATTACCGAAGACGGGTCAATTACTTGGTTGCAATCGGATTGATTCACAATGTGACCACGTTAGAGGAAGATGTTACCAACTGGGGAGAGTGCAATCTTGTTTGTAAACGTACGTATAATAACTGGGGCGTTTTGCTTATTGTTAGAGAAGATATAATTTATAGCCGTTAGTTACTTATACAGTTGTTCAAAGGCTAGGCAAAGAACTACGGTAGTCTGTAATAGCTCGATGATTTATATAGCTTATTACTATCCATATAGACGACTATTCATTTTACCAATTCGTAAATTTTAATTTTCAGGCTTCGACGACCTTTTCAAGACCGTTGTTGGCCACCTAGTCGAAGAACACTTCGACAACTTCCCCGAAGCTCTCAAGAAATTAGAAAACAAGGTGAAGCAAATTGTTGGTCACGTTGTCCGCTCGATTTTCCAAAGAAACGCTTCCAAAGTTCTGTCTGCAGCTAAAGACTTGGCAAACAACAGCATGGCTATCCAACCGGCTGTTGACTATTTTATTTCGGAATAAAGCTTCTCTAATTACTCATTCCAGTCTTCAATGTCATTGATGAATTTCCTGAAGGGCTCGCGATTTGTTTTGGCTTTGAAATTGCGGCTTCATGTCCGCATCAGGACATTTCCGGAATTTGGACACTTCCGGAATGGCGGAATAGTGACACTTCCGGAATGGCGGAACAGTGACACTTCCGGAACCGGGGAAAAATCAAAGAAGAGGCTTAGACCTGCCATCTGAACCATCTGACTGGATTTATTGTTATTAATCTCAAAAATTTTGTTATTTTTTTTCTGATTGTTACTTTTTTCTTAAGTAGTAGTGTTAAAAAGTAATTTTTTGGAATTTTTCCAAAAATACAGGATTTAGGGGTTTTCGAGGGTGCTGATTTCGAAAATCATGTTAGCTTTCCTCTTCATAGTACTATCTGGTACTATACAGTACGAAGTGAAAATATGGCTTTTGGCGTTAATGGTGTTGTTTTGATGCTTGGTACTCCTCAAAAACACGTTTTAAATAATTGGTACTGTTTAGTACTGTCTGGTACTGTGTAGTACAAGGTAAAAATTTGGCCTTTAGGCGTTAGTGGTGTTGTTCTGTTCCTTAGTACCCCTATTTTCACCTTGTACTACATAGTACCAGACAGTACTAAACAGTACCAGTTATTTAAAACGTGTTTTTGAGGAGTACTAAGCATCAAAACAACACCATTAACGCCAAGAGCCATATTTTCACCTTGTACTGTATAGTACCAGATAGTACTATGAAGAGGAAAGCTAACATGATTTTCGAAATCAGCACCCTCGAAAACCCCTAAATCCAGTATTTTTGGAAAAATTCCAAAAAATTACTTTTTCACACTACTACTTAAGAAAAAAGTAACAATCAGAAAAAAAAATAACAAAATTTTTGAGATTAATAACAATAAATCCAGTCAGATGGTTCAGATGGCAGGTCTAAGCCTCTTCTTTGATTCTTCCCCGGTTCCGGAAGTGTCACTGTTCCGCCATTCCGGAAGTGTCCAAATTCCGGAAATGTCGTGGTGCCGAAAAGCTTCCAATCGGATTTTGTGACTGGATTCCCCATAGCGACTCTCTACAAAGTTTTGAAGCGGAGTTGAACGATTGGGGAAACCGAGAAGTGTTATTTTCCTCCGATGCAAGTGTCGAAATTAGGATAATCGAGAGTGCTGATGTCGAAAATGGCATTCATTTTTTTGATCTTTACTTTTTTCCTTAAGTAGTACTGTAAAGCAGTAATTTTTTAATTTTTATATAAATACTCGATCTAGGGGTTTTCGACCTTGCTGATTTCGAAAATTTTATTATTTTTGTGATTGAAAGCAGCTCCAATCAAAAATTGGGCTTTTTGATCCTTAAAAATCTCAGTTCGTTCATTAAAACTCAAAAAAATCAAGTTCCAGTGTTTTTACTCTTCAAAACAAATGATCTAGCTATTATAACTTTCCATTGATGGGCATGAGCAGACCAGGTTTCTGTCGCCATATTGATCATCGATTCTTGCTACAGACGGCCAGACTTTGTGATGACACCAGGGTTTGGGGAAGGCGGCCTCTTCTCTGGTGTAGGGGCGGTCCCAATCCGATGAAGTTACGGTGCGAAGGGTGTGTGGAGCCATCTGAAAAAATAGAATAAATTTCTAGAAATTAGAATAGATAATCAATGGAATAATCAAAAATAATCGAGTGTTTTCTTTAGTAGCTAAAATGCCAACTTTTACTATTACAGTAGGGGACCTGATCCAGTGGCAAAAAACGCACGATTTTGCATCCGGGAAGTATAAAAAATGTAGCAAAATGCTTCCCTCCCCAAGTGAAAAAGCTTCTTTTTGAAGGGCGCGCCCTTTCCCTCACAAAAAGAACGGACGCGCTTTTGAAATCGGAGCTTTTTCACTTGGAGAGGGAAGAATTTTGCCGCATTCTCGATACTTCCCGGATGCAAAATGGTACGTTTTTTGCCACTGGATCAGGTCCCCACTGTAAATTTCACATCAAATTTTTCAAGGCCCGCCTATCCTTTGGTTCAAGTTTTCTTGAAATCAAAATTTTATCTCAAAAAGTCTTCCCTAGTCTCAACCAGTAAAAAAATCTCTAACCATCCCCCTCCCTTCCAAAACCCCTACCTTCAACGGATTGCAGTCCCTTTCGTATTCTCCTCTTTCAATTTTCTGTATTTCTGCTCTGATTTGTATCATCGAGTCGATGAATCGATCCATCTCTCCTTTGTCCTCGCTCTCCGTCGGCTCGATCATCAAACAATCGTGTACCGGCCAGGCCATGGTCGGGGCATGGAATCCATAGTCCATCAATCGCTTCGCAATGTCCGTCACCTCAATTCCGGCCGATTTTTTGAAGGGTTTGCAGTCGATAATAAACTCGTGGGCATTCAAACCTTGCTCATCTTTGTAGACAACCCTGTATCCTCCCTCTTCCAGGCGTTTGGCCATGTAATTTGCGTTCAGAATGGAGACTTGAGATGCTTCGCGGAGTCCGGTGGCGCCCATAAGGCGGATGTATGCCCAGGTGATGGTTAATATCGAGGAGGATCCCCATGGAGTTGCAGCCACGGCTCCTTCGGTTCCATTCACCGGGATAACAGGGTGACCGGGGAGGAATGGGGCCAGATGAGCTAAAATCAAAATCATAAGTTTCTATACCCAAGCTGTATCCAAAATTTGAACCCAACTCCTACAACTGCGCTTCGGAGTTGGACGATTGGGGAAAACGAAAAGTATTATTTTTTTCGATGCAACTGTCGAAATTAGGATAATCGAGGGTGCTGATTTCCAAAATGACATTCATTTTTTTTTTGATTGTTACTTTTTTCCTTAAGTAATACTGTAAAGTCGTAATTTTCTGATTTTTTTTCATAAATACTCAATTTGGGGTTTTCAGTGGTGATGCTTTCAAATCAGAAAAAATGAACAAGATTTTTGAAATCAGCACCATCGAGAACCCCCAAATCGAATATTCATGAAAAAAATTCAAAAAATTACTACTTTACAGTACTACTTAAGGAAAAAAGTAAGAATCAAAAAAAAAATAATGTCATTTTCCAAATCAGCACCCTCGATTATCCTAATTTCGACACTTGTATCGAAGAAAAATAATACTTTTCGGTTTCCCCAATCGTCCCAGTACGTCAATCCAGAGCACTTCCCGAACCGTTTCGAAACTTCGTATCGTTTTCATTGATTTAAAAGAGAGACGAAATGTCGCGAAATTATCGGCACTTTTTCTCGCCCGAACTAATTTCTTTTTCTCGAAAAGGAAGTTGAAAGGCAAGAAAAAGCTTTTTATCGGATAGTGACATTTCGTTTTGAACGAATCACCAAAAAGGGGCGGGAAACTTTTTCTTCTATTTTGGATTGACGTGCAACCTTATGGATGGCCCTATCATTTCGCTTCCAAAAATTTCCTTCTTTCCCCAACTTACACTTGACTCCAATTGGCCCAGCTCCGGGTCCTCCGCCTCCATGAGGGATACAGAAAGTCTTGTGCAAATTCAAATGGGACACATCGCTGCCGTAATCGCCGGGTCTGCACAGTCCAACCTGCGCGTTGAAATTGGCTCCATCCAAATAAACTTGGCCTCCATTTTCGTGGATTTTGTTACACACATCCATGATTGAAGATTCAAAAACTCCATGAGTCGACGGGTAGGTTACCATAATCGCGGCCAAATTGTCTTTGCACTTGTCAATTTTGGCGGATAGGTCTTTGAAGTTGATATTCCCGTGCCGATCCGATTCCACGGGCATTACTTTGAAGCCGGCTAGCTGGGCGGAGGCCGGGTTCGTTCCGTGCGCCGACATTGGGATCAGACAGATCTGGAAAGGAATGTTATAGTCTTAAAACGTCCTACAATTATTAAAAACTCGATTTAAAAAATCTAAAGGGCATAAAAATCTTCTAACATCTTAAAAACCATTTTTATAGATCCCAAACTATCTTTGAACCATCAATACCCAAAAAATTACACTCAAAACTTTCAAAACCCCTTACAAAATCATGTAAACTATATATTTAAAATTCATTCTAATCCTCAAAAATAGCCCTCCAATCCTCAATTTCTCCCAAGTTTGCTTACATTTCTCTGTTTCTGATCGATGCTTTCCAGATACCCGCGAATCGCCAAAAGTCCCGCATATTCTCCGTTGGCGCCACTGTTGGGTTGCAAACTAAACCTATCGTATCCCGTCAGCTCGCAGAGCCATCTCTCCAAGTCGTTGAATACTTGAGCATATCCCTTGGTTTGATCGCTCGGGGCGAACGGGTGAATGTTCGAGAATTTGGGCCATGTTATTGGGGCCAGCTCGGCGCTGGCGTTGAGTTTCATGGTGCAAGAGCCCAAGGGGATCATCGAATGGACCAGGGAGACGTCCTTGTTCTCCAGGCGTTTGATATAGCGGACCAATTGAGATTCGGAATGATGGCTGTTGAAGACGGGATGCTGCAGATAACTGGAGCGACGGGCATGCTCGGAATTGCCGATCAATGGGGATGGGGTCTCGTGGATGTGTTGGAAGATGTCTCGCTGAAATTGGAGCATGTAATTAGTATACTTTCTCATCAAAATTTTGGGAACTGGGACGATTGGGGAAACTGAAAAGTATTATTTTTCTTCGATACAAGCGTCGAAATTAGGATAATCGAGGGTGCTGATTTCGAAAATGACATTCATTTTTATCTTTACCTTTTTCTTTAAGTAGTACTATAAATCAGTACGGGGTTTTGACCTTGTTGCTTTCAAATCAGAAAAAATGAATAAGATTTTCGAAATCAGCAAGGTCGAAACCCACCAAATCGAGCGTTTGTGAAAAAAATTCAAAAAATTACTACTTTACAGTACTACTAAAGGAAAAAAGTAAGGATCAAAAAATGAATGTAATTTTCGAAATCAGCACCCTCGATTATCCTAATTTCGACACTTGCATCGAACAAAAATAATACTTTTCGGTTTCCCCAATCGTCCAACTCCGAAAATTTTGAAAAGAAAAAAAATCAAAACCGTTATATACTATATAAACCAAAAACTGTCTAGAATGCCCAAAAAAGCCAAAAATCTATAAAAAACCATGTTCAGAAAGCCCCTAGTGGCTCTTTCGACCAGAATAAAAAAATTTCCCCAAACAAAGAAACACAGTTAGAAGTCTCTCTTAACCCTCAAATGCCATCAAAACCCCTCTTACCGCAGTAATATCCACATTGAACAGATACAACAGGTCGCTGAGATCCTCCGGAAGCACCGTTTCATCCAGCGACACTCCAACCCACGAGTTGTCAAAGTACCTCACATTGATCTTCTTTTCCTCAGCCCTGACCTTGAAATCCGTCAAATTCATCGGTTTACACTTCAACGTGTCGAAATAGTTCTCATGCGCGATTTCCACTCCATTTTCGGCCAAATCTTGAAAAACTTTTTGTTATACTTGACAAAGATTTATTCATTGTCCCCAAAAATCAACTTACGTTGACCCAAATACGCCGTAGACTTATGGATGGTCCTAGCGATCGATGCCAACCTTGCCGGCCCATGATATATCGTGTACATCGCCGCCATATTAGCCAACAGAGCCTGGGCAGTGCAGATGTTCGAGGTGGCTTTATCTCTTCGAATGTGCTGCTCTCTGGTCTGCAAAGCCAATCGGTAGGCTTGATTGCCCTCGGCATCTCTGTAAACATCATATCATAGCATATGAAAAATTAATTACATCAAAAATTCAAAAAATTACATTCTCCTTTGTCATCAAGCCCGAAATTAAAATTTCTTACCTGCTCACTCCAACCAGACGTCCGGGCATCAGCCTGGCCAACGAATTTCGATTATCAGTCTTGGCGACGGACATGAAAGCGGGATGGGGGCCTCCATAGCCTAAGGGGATCCCAAATCTTTGAGCGTTTCCTACTGCAATGTCGGCTTTGAGGTCGCCTGGAGAACGGAGCAAACAAAGGGAGAGGGGGTCACATGCCATCGTTACCAACGCCTAAACAAATTCGTAAATCATATCAGAGGTAAATCAAAATCTAGGTATCAAATTTTTAATTTTTTATATCAACCTACCCCATTTTCATGTGCATTCTCGACAATCGCCTCAATATTGTCATAGATCAATCCCTCCGTATTCGGATATTGAATAATGACTCCAGCCACATCTCGAGTGATATTTGGGTCGTTTACATTGAAGGGTTCAAGTGTAATATTCAAAGGTTTAGCGCGAGTTTGGATGACAGCAATGTTTTGGGGGTGTAAATATGGGTCGTAAAGAACGACATTTCTTTTGGTGGCCCGGCATGATAGGGTCATCGCTTCGGCGCAGGCTGAAGCCTCATCCAACAGGGAGGCATTGGCAACATCCAGTCCGGTGAGGTCCGAAATCATGGTCTGGAAATTGAGAAGACTCTCCAGACGGCCTTGGGAAATCTCCGGTTGATATGGGGTGTAACTGCAAGAAAAAAAAATTTCAAAATCACTTTTAAATTTCATAAAATTAAGAAATAAACATAAAAATTGACCAAAAATTAAAATTTTCACCAAAAAATCGACAAAAAATTTCACTTTTTTTATCATACCTCGTGATCCATCCAGCATTTTGCAGCATATTCCTGATAATGACCCCAGGCACAATACAATCATGGAAGCCCATTCCAATATACGACCGGTAAATCTCATTTTTGGCGGCCAGAGTCCGAAGAACCGTCAACATTCGCCACTCATCCAAAGGCTGGGGCAGATTTAACGGCCGGTTCAGGGCTATCGCATCCGGAACATTGGTGCTGGTGAGTTGATCTAGATCCTGAAAAAAAGCTTTTTACAGTCAACTATTACAACTCGAAGTTCACGAGTAGCCTATTAGCATTTTCACAAGTGCCTGAACATTTGCGCGGTCCGCACCGAGCGCAAAAATCCCCGATTTTTTGCACCGTGCACTCGCCTTTTTTTGGTTTTGCACTGTGCATTTGAAATATCGCTGCGACGTAAGCTTTTTTCAACCGTGCCGCCGCGAGAATTTGGACAATCGGCTTTTTTGAGATTCGCACGGTGCGAAAAGGCAAAAATCCACAGTGCGTTGGCGACAAAAAATCATTTTCACAAAGTGCCTGGACATCTTTTGGCTTTCGCACAGTGCATCTCGAACTTTTGTCGCCAACGCACCGTGCATTTTTGCTTTTTCGCACCGTGCAAACCTCAAAAAAGCCGATTGCACTGTGCACATTTTTGAGCGAAATCGCAGCGGCGCGGTAGGGAAAAGCTTACGTCGCAGCGATACTTCAAATGCACAGTGCAAAACCAAAAAAAGATGAGTGCACCGTGCAAACCTCAAAAAAGCCGATTGCACTGTGCATATTTTTGAGCGAAATCGCAGCGGCGCAATTGGGAAAAGCTTACGTCGCAGCGATATTTCAAATGCACAGTGCAAAACCAAAAAAAGATGAGTGCACGGTGCAAACCTTAAAAAAGCCGACTGCACTGTGCATATTTTTGAGGGAAATCGCAGCGGCGCAATTGGGAAAAGCTTACGTCGCAGCGATATTTCAAATGCACAGTGCAAAATCAAAAAAAGGCGAGTGCACGGTGCAAAAAATCGGGGATTTTTGTGCACGGTGCGGACCGCGACAAATGTTCAGGCACTTGTGAAAATGCTAAAACTTTCCATTTTCAAGAGCCTTTACCCACCTTGAATCCCAGAAAATGCAGTAATTGTTGCTTTTCCAGCTCGGAGGGACCAATGTGACGGTCGGCGAAACAATCATAATTGACCAGTCGAAGGGTGGAATTCCTTAAATTCCACACTTTTAGCAGTCCAGTGTGGTTAGCCAGCCCGGAGCGGGCCAAGGAAACGGCGCGGTTCATATTATTTTAGATGTTTTTATGCCAAAACTTGGCATAAAACAACTAAAATAATATAAAAGTCGGTAGAATATTAGGAATTATTAGGTTGATTAGTTAGGAATTAGCCGGAATTTCAACAATCTTATCGTATTTTAGTCAGAAAGAAAGGTGATTAGACAAAAAATCAATTTTCACGCAAGCACCAATAATTGTTGGTCTTTCCGCGTGGGAATAAAAGTTTTTGTCAACGAATTGGTCGAAGAGAAACGAAGAGATTGATTTGCAAACGTCCTTCAGCCGTTATGCAATATGATAACAAGTCTATCACAATAAAAAATCTTATCAAAAAATTGGGAAAGGAGGTGGTGTTGCGGTCAGAAAATGGAGGTTTCTAGTCGTAAATTTTAAAGCTTATTTAGAACTGGGCGTATTTATTGACATTTCCTTGAGGTAAAATACGCCTCGTGAAGAGCGACGTCGATTTTTTAAACTTTTTCCACACACATCAAGATTCATGTATAAGATAAAAAATCCTCATAGAATCGGTAAGCCCCTTCCCTAAAGATAACAAAACATACAAATACAAAAAATACTTACGAAAAGAGCACCAGCGATCTTCGCATCATGTTGAATTCGGGATTCTTGGTCGGAATTCGACCGGCTTTCGTCTGATGTCGATATGGAACAATGATGAAGGTAAATTGCAGATCATTTCTCGGATTTCCCAAGCTCAACCGAGAAAATTTCGTCCAAATTTTGTTTTTCCTGAATTTCGCAAATTTTTATTTTTTTATTTTTTAGGATTACAGAATGCCAGAGATTTTTGGCACTCAATGTTTTGGTGGTTGGGCCATTGGGAAGAGTTATGATGATTCAATTCATCATAAAAAGCTTGTGAAAGACGTTGAATTTAAAACAAAATTCTCAGATTTTTGCTATTTAACACCATTTTAAGGACCTTTATGCCTTTTGTTAACGTATTTTAGCCATCAAAGTCTTCAATTTACAGGGGAAGTACCCCAAGTGCGACTCTCAGAATTTTGATAAAACTTTGCACAAATTTCGAATATTTTTTTCTAAAACATATTCGAGAATCCTAGCTCGCGCTTTGCAGAAACAACCGAGATTTTTAGATCGAAAGTCGGCGAAAATTTGACAATTTTTGCCGAATTTCGGCATGAAAAGTTTGATACTTATTTCTACCGTAAAGGATAATACTTCCACAAAAAATCAAATTTTTCCGAGCGAAACTAGCCAAGGTATGGCCGAAAAGTCTTTCTCTCGACTGACCGCTCTCCGCGTTTGGCGTGCTCTCTCGGCAGCAAAGATCGTTCAATATCTCGGCGGCGCTTGCAAAGCGCGAGCTAAAACTTTCAGGAATTGATGTTTAGTCTATGCGCGACATGTGTGCAAAATTTAAGGAAAATCTGAGAGTCGCACTTGGGGTACTTCCCACATCGTCCAACCCTTTTATAGTACATAAAATGCAATTTCCGTTAAAACTTTTACCCCTTTGTTTTTCATCCTTGTCTTTTTTGAAGAACGAAAAAGAGGGTCGACTTGCCTGTAAATCCCCCTTCCACTTGTCTCTTTTCCTTTCGGACTTCCGGTGGAGGGGTTATGGCATTTCCTCTCTCTTGGTGAGGTCCCTTTTAATATGCGTCTAGAGTCGATTAAAAGTTTTGGGAGGGACACATTTCTGTTCGTTTATTGAGAACGCGGGCTGAAACAGTCCTAGGACTCGAATTTAGAGGTTGGAGGTTTAAAATTGTTTAGTTTTGGAGTAATTTTTGAAGTCGATGTTAATCTGAAAGTGTATTTTTTAGCTTCAATTTTTTCTTATTTATGTACATGTTGTCGGCTTATCATTTTTTTGGCATGCTCAACAGGCCTTATTTTTTATATTGGCCAAGTTTTAAGCAAATATCAGGGTTTAATTTTTAGTTTCTCATATGTATTTTCAAATCGTCGTTTAATGTCATGGATAATATAAAAATCATGTAGAATTCGAACTTTTTTCCCTTGTTTTCTTCACCCGGCTTATCACAAAGGATTTTTTAAGTCTCGGGCTTACTTATCCATTGTAACTTTAGTTCGACCATCAACAAAAGTTCAAAGTGGTTGCCAATTAAGCAAATGAATTGTAACCGGCTTACTGTGGCTGCGCTAAATGAATAATCACTGTGCCAATGCAGGATATGGTGAGTTCTCTTGTTTTTTTACAACGGCACAAGCTCAAGTTTTCCATCTTATCGTTTCTGTCAAAAAATTCAAATTTTTAAAAATTTTTGGCTTTTCAATTTTTTCCCCACAAAAAAATAATTTTTTTCAGCCTAGATATTCCTTTCACCCTCTCACTCTGACTATGTCTACCTCGGGGGTTCCCTTTTCTTATTCCAGATTACCCGAATTCGAGTCGAGAAATCGATTGCGCCATCTTCTCTCGTCTCTCCTTTTCTCGCGCCCAAAAAACGAGGGGTTCTTGGGTTATTAGGCGAAATTAATTATTCACTTGATCCGTTCTCATTGACTTTCGATACTTTTTGGTTTCTCTGATCTTTCGAGGGGCTAAAAATTGTTTGCGGGGGGAATTTGAAGATTTTTGGGGGTGTTTTTGGGCATTTTTTGGTTTAAAAGAGGAAATTTCCGAGTTTTTTTGACGAACTTATAATGAAAAATTGAATAAATCTGCAAAGTGAGATTTTTTTTGCATTTTTAAAATCAAAAAAATGGAGTCATTTTCTGCAAAACGCGATTTTTTAAACGGAAAAAATTTATTTAAAAATTTTTTTTTTTCAAAATTTCCCAACAATTTGCTGAACAAGCCTTCTCAGACCGATTTGCAACACCTATTTCATATTTAAATTCCCTCCCACCCTGCCTAAACATCCCAAACGTGTCGTTTCCCTCCAAAATAAACACATTCCTTGCTTTCGACTGTTTTTTATGGGAATATAGGGAAGAAAATAATCGAAATCACGTCGAAATTCAAACGTGGAAGAGGATTGACATCTTTTTGATTTTTTTTCCAAAAGCCTTGAGGATTCGAGTTTTTTTTGTTGGATAAATCCGATTTTTTGTTTCTTTTCGAGCTCTTCTTTTTCGCTTTTTGAGAGCTGAGCAGCGATTTTCTAACTGCGCAGGCGGTAGTCGAGTAGCCAGAGGGGATTTTCTGCTCGGATTTTGGGGTTTATGTGGAACGCCGGAGGGGAATTCAGAATTTTTTGAGGGAAAATTTCGGTAAAAATTTTAATTTTAAGTGACTAATTTTTCTGCTGAAATTTTATTAAATACGCCTGATGCAATTTGGCTCCAATTAAAAATAAAATTTACCGCTTTATTTCGTGCATCTGTCGTTAGTTATTTTCCAAAGCAGAGCAGGTTTGTGGCCGTGAATCTCAAAGAGTAACTTTTTTGTTACAAATCCTGCCTAAATGTCCTCAGATTTCGTTTTCAAGCATAAAATTACGAAAGGAGCCCTGAGTTTTTAATTGCTGGCATTTTAGAAATCAAAGTTAGATCCGTTTTCTGCTATAGCTTCTCAAATTTTCCGTGGGAAAAAGCTTTTCTGTTCATTTTTTGCTCAAAACTTTGAACAGATAGACATCCAAAAGGATGTATTTTTTTGTCATTTTTTGACGTATTTTCTGCAAAGCGCGAGATGAAAATGCCTGGTGTTTGATAAGAAATTAATAATCTTATTCTGAGCAAGTCTCATCAACATCTTTTCTTCGAATTTTTCCCGCCTCCGAACCCTTGATTTTGATTTTTTTATCATTTCCGAGCACCAAATATAGCACTTAATTTATGCTAATCCACTTTTAAACGCTTCCAAAATATTGTTTCAATCTCCCCTTAGGGCTTTCCACAACAATTTTCTTATGATGCAATTCACAAATTGCTTTACATATTACCTTTTCCCTATTCCTTATTGCTTCCATCCCCCCCACTTTTTTGACCTTGCAATCAAAACCAGTTATCCCTTGTGTCCATTACAATAATTACAAATCACCGGAAGTGACCAACTCCTCTCTTCGAAACTAGGAAAGAAACTGATCCGGTTTGAACAACAGTCTTGCAAAAAACGTGAAGAAAGTCTTTAAACTTTTTACGAGTATTGATAAGAGTAGCACCTCTCAAAGTGCAAATTTTTTCTCGCTTCCCCATTTATAGAGACGAAAAAGTTTGCTTTGATAGTCGAAAAAGCAGCGGGATTTGTTTGTTTTCGCAATTCCATGGGTACTTTGGAAAGTAAAAAGAGAGTAGTTGTGATCTGATTGAATTTTCAACGGGAAAGTGAGAAGAACGGCTAAAAATTAGAAAAATTTTGGATGCTTTTGGTCTTTCTGACAGTCGGAAATGATTTTTCAAAGAATAGGCGGTTTTTGAAATTTTTAGGGTGTGAAAAAAGTAATATGTCGTCCAAAAATTCATAGACGGCCAAAAAGTGTTTTTTCTCTGACCGTCTCTCCGAATTTTCTAGGGTACCTTGTTTTCCAAAGATTCTTGAATATCTTTTTTTTCTCCAGCTGACTATGTCCTCATTTACTTGGCCATCCTCTGAAAGAAAAAATATATCCTTACATTAGCTACTGATTCTGAAGTCGGAATTGAGCTTAAATCTGTCACCAATACGGATTTTTGATGTTGGCTGGGCAAACTAAGCGCATTGGTTAGCTGTAGATGAAAGGAAACAGGTGTCGGTTAGCTAGACCAACAAACTTGGGCTTTGGCTGATCAATAGGACGGCAAAATAGTTTTTGATTTCCCAAGTTAACGATGCCGCCTTAGGTAAAGTGGACGACCTGTTCTAGTGGCAAAAAACATACCATTTTGCATCCGGGAAGTATCAAAAATGCAGCAAAACACCTCTCTCTCCCAGTGAAAAAAATCAAATTTCAAAAGCGCGCTCACTCTTTTTGTGAAGGAAAGGGCTTTAGAACGGAGTTTTTTCAGTTGGAGATGGAGGCATTTTGCCACATTTTTTTATACTTTCCGGATGCACAATGATACGTTTTTTGCCATTGGATCAGGCCCCTCAATGTACGTCTTTAATCAGCATGCTCTGCGGAGACCCCGGACCATCTAAGTTCAAGGAAAACCTCGTAGAAATGGGAATTCGTCAAACTGCATAAAAAAAAAACACTTTTTTTGGGGACACTCCACACCCCACTCTTCATCATTAAGGAAGGGAGCATCAAATAAATGTCTCATTTTTTGCTTTGCGGTCTTCTTTGTTAATTTATACTTGAAATTGGCATTCAAAAAGCATTTTCTCTTCGGAAAATTTATTTTACATCTTTTCCGCAGATGTAGATTTCCTTCCTTCTAGGACCGCTGTATTCGCAATTTTTTAGCATTTTTTACGTCTTGAACTCATCTTTGACAGGACTTTTTATCACTCCTCTCCACTCCACTACAACCCTCAAATCATCAGAGCCCTTGAACTCTTCTTTCTTCCAACCATTTCCGTGTAAACAAACAAAAATAAATCCGCGAAAATCCTGTCCAGTTTTGATTTCCATCCCCCACCTAAAAAAAGCGTAATTCCCTCGTCCAAGAAACGTTTATTTCAGTCCGAACGACGCGTGGCTGAGCGTTGCGTGGACGACGAACTTGACGAAAACCTGGCGTTCCGTTGGATCTTCGGTCATCAAACCCGCCCCAGTCTGCAGTCGGACCTGTTCGGGCCGCGGCGTGCCGAGCACAGTGCGGAGCCGTTGATCAGCAAAGGTGAGGAGGTCTTGAGAAAGCACAAGAAAAGTGTAAAATATTGCCTCCATGTGATGAGAGTAGTTTGGAAAAACAAAAATAAGACTTTGCTGGGTTGTTTTTTCTTCACAAGTGCTAGCACTATGTCCTTGATGAAGCCGAAACTCAAGATAAGGCTTAAATTTTGGTAGATTTTTATAGTCATCAAAAAATTTTTACCGTTTTTGGAGTATTTTCTTATTCCATTGACCTGCATTTTCGATTACCTTAACCCCATTGCAGGCCCCATTCCTCCCTCTCCAACACCTCTCGGCCAGAAGCGACATCTTCTTCGGAATCGTCGGCCAAGCGCCACCGATCCAAACAGTCCTCTTCAAAGTGCCGCAGCTCAAATGAGGATGTCGATAGTCCACTTTCGACATCGCTTCTTCGTCCGACAATACGTCTATCCACTTCTGTGCCTGTTATTGTTGATAGTGCTGATTCGATGGACGACTGATCGAAATGAGAATGAAAAGACGGAATACGGGCGATTGTGGCATGATGAAGGAAAAACGGATCAAATCCAGAAAGTTAACATTGAAACTGTTGCAACGCCGCTGCAGCCGCTCATCGAGGAAAAGAAGGTTGTGGATAGCGATGCTGTGGTAAGATTTTACCTCCTCTTATCGTATATTAGCCATTGCTCAAAATATATCATAGCTAAGGCTTCTTGGTCGTACTAGGAAATAATCGTCGGCTGTAACAAACTTCCTGATCTTTAATATTCTCCTTGGTGTTGTCCAGAACCTTTGAAAAACAAAGCCTTTTGTTGTAAAGCGTTTTCAAACTGGTCTAATTGATTATGTCTCAGGTCTCGTGCGTTTTCCTTCTGTCGCTGATATAAAAAGCTCTGGCTATGGACGGGTTTGCAATGGTCTTCAGGAGGTTTACAGCGTCTGTGATTTGTTTATAAGGGAAGTACTCCAAGTGCGACGCTCAGATTTTCTTTTGTATTTTTGAAGATTTTGGGCTTAGGCCACATGTAAATTCCTGAGAATTTTTGCTCGCGCTTTCCAAGGACAGCCGAGATATTCCACGATCTTTGCGGCCGAACGACTGCGCAAATGGTGAAGAGCGGCCACAAAAAAAAGATTTTATTGCCGTATCTCGGCCAGTTTTGCATGGAAAAAATAATGTTTTTTTTTCGTGGAAACATTACCCTCTATCGTAAAAGTAAGCAAAACTTGTAAAAAGGTTTTCCATTTTTTCTAACTTCCGGCCTAAAAATCTCGGTCTTTTTCTGCAAAGTGCGAGATTGCATAGGTCATACAAAATTATTTTAAATTTGTGCCAAGTCTTATTAAAGCCTGAGCGTATCGTCGTACTTAAAGTAATGCTTCCCTCATTAGTTTCAGCTCCTAAAATGTGAGCCTAATTAGAAGTAGCAGTCTTTTATGTCACCAATTCTACCAAACCTTCGGCATGAATGTCTCGAAACCGGCTCTTATCTAAACGATCTTTAAAGATCAAGACTTCGAACTCCTTTTTCTTCACTACTTGTTTGCTATTATATATACAAACCACAGGCAAAATTTCTACGCTACGATAAAACCGGCCTCCCTTTCGCACCTCTGACTGTTTGCATAATCATATCGCATAATATAAATATCCATTATGATATGGAACGCTTTGCAATTCGCATAAAAAATGATCAAATTCACTTTCAAACAAGCGGAACTGTTTCAACCACCTGAGCTTTATAAAGGCGTGAAACGTTGCGAAAAATGAGAGTGACAACGCTGACTTATCGATGCGTTAACTGATAAGTGGCGGCGTAAACACGGCGGTAAACAAGAGTCTGTTTTTTTGGATAGGGATAGGTGTGATTGACAGGTGAAGATCTCAGGTTGCTGCTACACATTTTGCAAGAGTTTTCTGCGGCGACGAAGCTTTCTATCGGAAGGGTGTGAATTTTATGGAGATAAGAAACATTTGGATACTGTAGAGCTAAAATTTAAGTAATTGAAGAAAGTTTTTAGATCTTGTATACTATTTTTAGTCGGAAAATTGATAAGCATAATATCTGAGGGGTTTGTAGGGCTTGAGGCTTCCTTTTTGTTTTGTTTTTTGGGATTCTGTGGGCATGACAACAAAATTTCCAGACGGTTTTTGACTTTACATATCCGAAAGCGACCGAAAATGATATCAAAAGCTTAAGAAGGCGCTTAACGTAAGAAATTTGTAAGCTTTAGAAGACGCTTAGCACAAGGATTTTTGGTTTATCTAGGCTTACACCAAGCCAGAAATGTCAATTTTTGTTGTCTATGTAATTTGTAGTTTGCGCCGAAAAGTCAGTTTTTTGCTTCGTTGTTCTGCATTGAGGTTTTGCATGACTCAATGCCTCGTTACTTTTCTAAGTAGGCTGTTCAGTGAAAAATGAAATTTAGATATTTCTTCTCATATCGACAAACACGGCGTTCGAATTTTTCGCCAGTTTAAAGGCCCGTTCAAAATTCAAGTTTATTCAAATTTCCCCTCCAGCGTTGTCGTATGACCCACAAAATTATCAGCCGCTCCTCCTTTCCCACACCCACTGGTCAGTTTTGTTTATTTTTCTTATCATGTACAACCAGATTTTCTCCCTCGTCCCCAAGCGATGAACAATTATTTTCGCGGCTCGAGGCGATTACTTTTTGCGGAAAGCGACTTTCGGAGGTGGGGTCGGATATGCGGATTCAAGTTTTTTCGAATACTTTTTTACGTGACATTTTACGTAATAGATTTCTTATGTCAATATGGTCGCTGCAGGCTGAGATTTCGATCAGGTTGACAAAGCATGAGTAGTAGAGAGTACAGGTGGAGTATGGTAATTTTAAATTTTTTTGTAATTTCCGGTGAGAGGTTGCAAAAAATTTGAAATCTTACGATTTGATTTACAAGGGAAGTGCCCCAAGTGCGACGCTCAGATTTTCTTTAAAATTTGCACACACGTCGGGTATGGGCTAAGCATCAATTCCTGAAAGTTTTAGCCCGCGCTTTGCGGGCGCCGCCGAGATATCGAACGATTTTTTCCACCGAGAGAGCACGCTAAACGTGGAGAGCGGTCAGAGAGAGAAAAGCGTTTTTTGGCCATAACTTTGGCAGTTTCGTGCGGAAAAATTTGATTTTTTGTAGAAACATTATCCTTTACGGTAGAAACAGGCATGAAACTTTTCGTGCCGAAATTCGGCAAAAAGTCCTAAATTTTCGCCGACTTTGGATCTAAAAATCTCGGTTGTCTCTGCAAAGCGCGAGCTAGGATTCTCGCATATATCTTAGAAAAAACTCCTCTAAATTTGTGCCAAGTTTCATCAAAATCTGAGCGTCACACTTAGGGTACTTCCCTTGTAAACCTGATTCTCAAAAAATTGTAGCTGATCTTTCGAATTTTTCACTTTTTTTATCTGCCCATTATATTTTACATACACCATGTAACATGTTTATTTCAATTTCGTTTTCGTTGATCTTTGAAGATCGTCATCTTTTGCGCTCTTTTCACGTGTCTCTTCTTTCCGTTCGAATTAATCCAAAGAATCGCGAAGCGATTAGCCATGTCTTCCTTGCGCGAGTTTTCAACAGCTGTTGCGTATTCAGGCTAACGGGCGTCTTCTAAACATGCTGCTGTTGCTGCTTACTGTAATGTTATTGGTGAATGATTTTGGAGAATCATGGGTAAGAGCAGGTGTTTTTTGGGGTAAATCAGTGTTGTGTAATAATTACAGTTAAATCTATGTATAACGACTCGCAAGAGACCAAAAAAATATTCATTTCAAAAGGTTTTTATTTAGGCCCAATATTTATAAAATTTAGCTTTCTGACCTCTGAAATTGTATGTCGTATACATCTTTCATAGTACAGAGGCTGCATTCTATTCAAAAATATAGAAAATAAATACTACTAGCACCTAAAAAATATTGGTTCTACTTTTAAAACCTACTAAACCACCGAGGTTTCAGCGGCCCGCTCCAATAGCCAAGAAGCCAACGGGCAATATCGTGTCACTGGAGGTTTACATGGAAGCCCAATGTCCAGACACGTCGGCTTTCATTCATCGGCAGCTGGTTCCGGCCTGGAAGAAACTAGGCCATTTGCAGCGAATAAATGTGACGATAGTGCCGTTTGGGAAGGCGTTGTGCAAGCCTCACAATGAAGATTATATGTAAGCATTTTAAATAATATTATGCGTAATTTTTGCTTATTGTATTAGCTTGTAATTGGCTTACTTTTCAGCTGTGATTGCCAACATGGGCCATCGGAATGCGATCTGAATGGCCTTATGAACTGCGCAATGGAAAGGCTAGTGCAGCCGCGCGAATACGTGCCTCTGATCGGCTGTATTCAAGGCAGTGATGACTTGGATTCGGCAATCGCAAAGTGCTTCAGTCCTGGGGCTGATAAGGACTGGTAAGACTTTATTTTCGGATCCAAGAAAACATTAGTCCCCATTATTGAAGCTATTCGTATTTTACCACTTCATTTCCAGGATTTCCCAATGTTCCAAATCGAAGCGCGCCCGTTATTTGTTGGCCATGGCCGGGCAGCGAACGAATGCCCTCGGGTCGCAGTTCAATTTCGTGCCTTGGGTGGTGATTGACGGCGTCCGAAACATCGACAGTTTTTATGCGTTAGAGGAGAACATTTGCAAACTTTTCACGACCCCAGTTCCAGCCGAATGTTTGCCGGGATCGAGCGTTCAGCAGGTTCAGGCGATCGAGCAGCCCTTTCGATTGTAATAACTCATTGTTTGTTGTCATTGTCATGTGTGTTATGGGTGTGAAATCATCTTGAATTGTCTACAAAATTTGTCAAGTTGACTGAGCTTTCATTTTCCTTGTTCTGATTGTTTAACCATTGTCTGTATGTATATCATGTAACAATATCGTAGCTAGTGTCTTTTATGGGATTCCTAGGGAAAACAATTCATTTGCAACGGGTTTGACAAGGGTTCCACATCGCACAGGTTGTTGATTTGTACCGATGAGCTGTGATTGTTGAGTTTCAGATGGTAATAAAGAAAGGATTCGTATTGGAGCGCTGAAATTCACATGGGAAAGCACTCCAAGTGGGACGCTCAGATTTTGATGAAACCTGGCACAAATTTAGAATCATTTTTTTTATATGTAATATATGCGAGAATACGAGTTCGCGCTTTGCAGAAACAACCGACATTTTTAGATCGAAGGTGGGCGAAAATTTGACACTTTTCGCCGAATTTCGGCACGAAAAGTTTCATGCCTATTTCTACCGTAAACAATAAATTTTCTACCAAAAATCAAATTTTTCCGCACGAAACTGCCAAGGTTATGGCCAAAAAACCTTTTTCTCACTGACCGCTCTCCACGTTTAGCATGCTCTCTCGGCGGCGAATACCGTTCGATATCTCGGCGGCGCCAGCAAAGCACGAGCTAAAAATTTCAGGAATTGATATTTAGTCCATGCCCGACGTGTGTGCAAAATTTAAAGAAAATATGAGCGTCGCACTTGGAATACTTCCCCTGTCAGTTGGTATTTCCCAAAATAAAGCTACGTACACATATCTTCAGTGATGTTCCGCTTTGCCAAACGTTGTACTTTTAATTCTTCGTCCAAAAATTTCAAAATCCCAAGTATGCTACGAAAAACAACTACGTATTTGCCTTAACTATCCTGTCATATGCGGCACTTATCTCATATCAACAACACCGTCACATCCTTGAGTAGGACGGCATGTAGCCTGGTCTTGTGGTCCCAATGATGCTCAATGTACAAGTGCTGCAAGACCCGCTGACTACGATTTGCCACCTTTTTCTGACAATGACATATTAAAGTTTTTTGTGCGTCACCCGTCAAGATGATACGTAACTGTGAAGGGGGCAGTTGTCGAGAAGGTCGCTCATACGGATAGAAGAAGATTTTGGCCAATGAAAACGTTTTCTCTCTGCCAGCTCTACACACTTACAATGGGGAGCTGATCCAGTGGTAGAAACGTACCATTTGGCATCCGGGAAGTATCAAAAATGTGGCAAAATGCTTCACTCTCCAAGTGAAAAAACTTCTTTTTGAAGGGCGCGCTTCTGAAATCTGAGGCAAAAAACGTATAATTTTGCACCCGGACAGTATCAAAAATGTGGCAAAATACCTCCCACTACAATAAAAAAAGCTTCGTTTTGAAATGGGCGCCTTTTTTTCCCACAGAAAGAGCGGACGCGCTTTTGAAATCTGAGTTTTTTTCACTTGAAGAGGGAGATATTTTACCACATTTTTTTGGCTTCCTGGTTGCAAAATGGTACGTTTTTTGCCACTGGATTAGGTCCCCCACTGTACTGAACTCTTTGGGAATTTGTCGAAGGTTTTAGCTGCAAAATAGTCAAATTTTCGTAAGCTTTATCTCCCTGAATCTACAATATTCCGTCGCACAAAAGTGACTTCATTCAGTAGAATTATTCTCGAATCTAATCAGATGCATACCGTATCTCTTTGACAATTGGAAAATTTGTCCAACTGCAAATATAATAATCCGGGATTAGCAGTCTTGATGCCTAGTTATGATGCTAGAATATGGCGTTATCCAATTGGTTGACCTACAAATCTTCCTTGAAATGCGGTTCAGGCCAAGTTGTGGCTTGTGGCGATAGGATTTGAGTTTGTGATTACTGTCATTTCTAGCATTTACGTCATGATGGGAAGTTCGAATAGTGCCTTGAGTAATATCGGCCACGGTTTATTAACATTGCCGATGTTAGAATTCATTATTTTCGGAATAGCAAGATGCACTTTGATGGTGTTGCTTTCATGTATTATAGATGTTGATATCTTTAATTAACTTTTGGCAATGGGATGACTTTATTTAGTCCAAGTAATCGAAGCCAGTAGGAGGAGCTCTCCAACGCCAGTCATATCTCCACTTTTTGTAGGCATTGTTTATTTCAGCTACTAAATTTAACCTTATTACATATTTTTGATCCTTCGGCGTAAACTCCGCCGACAACCGCAATTGAAAGACCTTAAAAATACATTTTAATTTATCCACTTTGGAGTCCAAGTGTTTCCTCGAGATTCGTCCTTAATTTTATATGCAAGAATCATCGGGAATAATCCAATCTCACACTGACATCATTCGACCATTTAGGACACTCTACATTCGAATTTAATACGAAAGATTCGCGGTGGAAGAAGCAAATTGGAAACAATCGTGGACCTGTCAGTCCCAGCGATAAAGCCAAATTTATTGACATGTTTTGACAGTGTGTACCGGCTTGGCATTCGAAGAGAGAATTATCATTTATTTTTAGATGGAATTATTAAATTGACGTTTGTAATTATTAGACAGGAGAAGGTGGTACGGTAGGGTTGAGGGCAACAGTTTAAACAGAAGCTGCTGGAGGTCATGCATTTTGATAATGAGAATTTTTTAAAACATGGCATGGTGCTTGCAAATATACAAGGGTTTGCTATTATTTGCAACTTTTCTGTAATACTGCGGTTGTTTATTTAATGGATTTTTCCAATTGCGTCAAATTAGTGTCATCTTCGTAATTTTTTCTAAATTGAAAATTTTGATATGCCAACCTTTCAAATACAAGTTTGGCAAGGCTTATATACAAAAATTTAAAAAAAAAATGCTCAGCTTGACAATCGAAATGACAGAACAACTTGACGTGATGAAAATGACGGCAACTTTTGCTCATAAAAAATCAATTTTACTTATCTGTTTTTCAACGCTCTATACGCCATATTTTTTGCAGATCGAGTCTTACCTCAAGCCTTATTGTTAGTTATCACTGCATGTCCTGCATTCACCAAGTGGTTGTGCGGCACCAGCTGCTTCTAATAATGAGGTCAAAAGTTATAAATTCTGTGTTTGAAACAATTTCTCACCATTTGTACCTGAAAGTTCCAAATGAGACCGAATTTTTTGCAAAGTTAGGCCTGCAATTCATTGTAGGCTTACAGGGGAAGTACTCCAAGTGCGACGCTCAGATTTTCTTTAAATTTTGCGCACACGTCGGGTATGGCTAAATATCAATTCCTGAAAGTTTTAGCTCGCGCTTTGCGTGCGCCGCCGAGATATCGAATGATTTTTGCCGCCGAGAGATCATGCTAAACGTGGAGATCGGTCAGAGAGAAAAGCGTTTTTTGGCCATAACTTTGGCAGTTTCGTGCGGAAAATTTTGATTTTTTGTAGAAACATTATCATTTACGGTAGAAATAGGCATAAAACTTTTCGTGCCGAAATTCGGCAAAAAGTCCTAAATTTTCGCCGACTTTTGGTCTAAAAATGTCGGTTGTTTCGGCAAAGCGCGAGCTAGGATTCTCGCATATATCTTATGTTAGAAAAAATTATTCTAAATTTGTGCCAAGTTTCATCAAAATCTGAGCGTCGCACTCGGAATACTTCTCTTGTCAATTAAAAAATTTAGAGATATTTCTTGTGTGGTAATCTCATTAATTATGCATACATTGACGCGCCACACTCACTGTTTGTACCTTACAGTACTCTTGGTTTTTTATACGTGCTCGACGTCACATTGCATTAATAGAGATACTAGGGATATTGTATGCTTGACCTTTTGTCTTCTCGTTTTCTATAAATGTAACATTCTTCGGCCGCATGTCAAAAACATTCGCAGCGGGTTCGACGTGAGAAGGGTTTGATTTATTTTCCAATTATTTCCGACCCCGGCTTCGACCTTTGCGCATGCGTTCTGCAAAGGTCGACATTTTGATACATACATATATGTTATATGTATGTGTATATGTAGCCTATTGTTTCCTACTGCGGTCTTCATTATCGTCTAACAAGAAAATTGCCGGGACAGCCGGTATGATCGCGGCGTCGTCCCCTCGCATCAACACGGTTGAAGGGCGCGCGAGTCTGCAGTTCCTCTCCTCATACGTTTCTGGCATTTACTAAACGGCTGGGCCAATTTTTTCGACGTTTTGTTTTGTAAATACTATCAAATGTAATTAAAAACGGGATGAGTTCGTGCGAGAGGGAATGAGGAAGTACGTCGAGAGGAAAAACGAAAATGCACGTCATGGTAATCCGCACATGTCTTTGTAAGCGCGGCGAAACATTTACGGTATGTGGAGCAAATCGTGCGTAAAATACGTCACTGTAACAGAAATATTGAAAGGCAACATAACAACATGATAGAAGATGGATCCGTTTGATCTTTGGAAGTGCCATTTTTTGAACGGCTATTAGTCATACTCAACAGAAATAAGTATGCTGTTAAGGCTGTAGTTCTTATACACGTCACCGAACACTAAATTAAATTAATTAAGACTAAATTAAATAAATATACATAACTTTGTTCTAGACACATGAAATTTTGGAAGCGGAAGTTTTTCCACCTTCGGATTAGACAGTAATTTTTTATGAAATTTGCCACAACTTTAAACATAAACAGTCGTATCTTGTGAACGGTACAGATAGTTGTGGCAAACCAAGGTTCATAAGGTTTAGAATTTTGTGTAGAATAGTTTAGAATCAAAAGACCCAAAGCAAATCGGCTATTAAGGAGTGAAATCCGGAGGGCACAGATATGAAAATTTTGAAAATCCGCAAAGTTGGGGAAAAGGTTTGGCCCTAAACAAAGATGAAACTCAATCTATGTTTCGCAGTATAAGTTTTTTTGGTCCAACATTTTGCAACATAACATTCCATTTTTAGGGCCGACAATTTTAACAACCGAAAACAGTGAAAAAAAATATTAGTTTTTCGTTGTTTGTTACTTTTTGCTGTAGTTTA